ATCCTGTCGAGAACGAGGTTAGGCTTAACCAGTCGTAATCGTTACAGCTATGGATTTGCAGCAAGCCTGGCACTCAGCAATGTAGCCTGCTTACACACTTTTCTGGCTTACTTCGTGAAGCGACATTCATGAGCTACGTTCTCATCCAGTCAAATGTAGCCTGCTTTTGCAAACTCTCCTGTATGTCCCTAAAGTGCTTATGATGGCCGCTGGAAATGTCTTTGACTCAAAGATGATCTGTAAGCTGTTAGACTTATTGCGCTACAGGTAGGACAGACACCAAATGGCCCCAAAATGAAAATTTTTTGCAGCTGTGAATGCACATGAGAAGGGTTCGCCCTTGAGCGAGGCTTACCGTTACATGCCAGCGGTAGCTTTGCTTGCCATAGACTAGCTTTGGCACCCTACTCCCACCTGGCTAATGAATGTAAGCTGGCCGCCACCGTCGTAGGCCCTGCCCAATTATGTGCGCCTTTGACACAATTATGTGCGCCTTTGTGGGCCACTGGAAAAAACAGCGAGTGCTGATCTGCGATTGTCATGAAGAGCAAGCCTGCAGGCCTGCCTTGACTGCCTTTTCCGTCCTGGCAATTTCCAAAGAATGTCGAGGCCCTTGACTCTTGAGGGACCATCCTGTGGGCGTACTGGCGACTCCCTCTGACGCAAGTAGACTTATACCAGAACTCAGTTAGCGGCAGGGGGTCTCACGCAAATTTGAGTGAGAATCGCGAACGTCAACTGCCGGGTTTCGTGCCGGTAACCAGCGCAGCGACGGCCGAAGTCCTGGCTCAGGTTCAACTTCATCGGATCAGTCGCCGTGACATGACGTCAGTGCTGACACTTTGGAACGCCCACTTTAGCGAGCAATCGTTACCTGGGCCACTATTCTGAGCCGCACGATTGATGTTCACCCGTACCGCACGCTCGACCGTAAAGGAAACTTCGTGTTCCGCAATTCGTAAAAAAGAAGCACTGAAACCCTGAAGTACGCAGACAACTCGGACTTTAACCGTACGGTAATTTAGGAACAATATTAAAAGCGGCAGGTATAATAAGCTCGCCAGCCTGGGACGGGTGGGGTTAGTTTGGGGGTTAGGGTGGGTACGGGTGCGGAGCGCGTGAATTGTTGGGTTAGGATTTTAGTGTTAGTTGGAGCTTTAATTTATTATACCTAGCTCTTATTATTCCTTAAAACTAGTCCGTCATTTAACGCAGACCAGTGTTTCCCATGGATTCTGGCGCAACCGGGCACTCAGCCGGCAGCCCCCGATCTCTGCCGGCCAGCTCTTCTTGACTGCCGGCCCGAACAAGTCGCCACCACGATTCAAAAACCATTTCCGGATGAAAACCGACCGGATTTGAAAAGTTTGTGAATTTTCTTCCCGGAGTTTGGAACCTTTTTAGGGACTTTTTGACCACTGAGAAGTCTAAAAAGGGTAGTTTTACAACAGTACAGGCCCCAGGGGCCAAAACAGCCAGATGATTCCTTATACGCTGGTAGCTTGACCGGCAGGGTATTGTTTCTACCGGCTGCAGGCTTGCAACTGAGCCGGCGAGGTGCCTTCGGCACCGGCTGAAGTTTGAACCCGGTACTCGGCCGGCCCGGATCACTGGCATCGACCGGCTGTGCCGGAAACCCTGACGCAGACCTGAAATACCGGCTGGTAAATTGCTGCAATCCTACTGTATTTTGTGGCAACATTGCACAACATATTCTTTTCCCCGTGGCGGCAAATTGAAAGTCATCGTACGACGGGTCACTAAAATAACGACCGGAACAGCGTACAGTTATTTTCATTTGCCAAGAGTGGATGACGTCACTGCACATGGGATTCATTTTAATTGCTAAAGCCTGCCCCGTATAAAATACGGGCGAAGAATACCCGAACGAATCCCAAAACTCGGCCTCAAAAGAGGGGAGGCCTGAAGGCCGTTCCATCGAACGGCTGAAAGGTCCCGATAGGGTACTGCCTGCCCTTAGTGGACGGTTCCGAAGGACTTTGGAACCCGGCCGGGTAATTCTTCCTGAACGTCACGGTTCCCCTGGCTAGTACCTAAGGCGGGCCCTTACTAAGGGCAAAGCCAAAATCAGGTCGAAAACACCTTCAACTTCAAGTTTTGATCAGGTCTTCCGCAGGGCCCACGCCCGCGGGGCTCTTCCCTATCATAATATTACCTACTGTTAGCAGGGAGAGTCCAGAGCATTGCTGCCAACAAGCGAAGCCAATAAGCTCAGCACCACCCCATGCCATGACTTGCCGCGTCACTGTCCAAAATTTCTGGGGTGCGCTTCCATTTGCCTCCCGCTTCATGCAGAAAGAGGGGCTTCTTTCTAGCCAGCTGAATGCGTGGAGGTCCAGCATTGCTGGTCTTCATGGAAATGCTGTCAGGGGAATGTATGCAAATGAGAACGAGGAAGAAGGCGGCGGCGCAAAGAGGGCTCAGGATGCAGGAGAAGCAACCAATGCCAGTTTCCTGCGTTTTGCAGTGGTTGGCAGCGGGCCAGCGGGGTTTTACACCGCCGATCGAGTGAGTGGTTTGAGGTGCACACAAATGTTGATGCTTGCTTGAACAACAAATCAAGCAAGAAATGTTGCTTGATCTTCTACAAGCAAGCATTTTCTAGATTTTCTACAATGAGTGCCCAACCTCATGAGCTCTCCATTTTACTGAGTTAAGACCAGACTTTTGAGCTCTGAAAGTTCAACAAGGTTCTGATAAGTTTCAAATGTTTCTGATTTGAGGATGGTGCGGTGAGGCAATGCTTCCTTTCAAAATTCTGCCTAAGACAATTGCAGCTGAGTCAAATGGTGGTGTGATGTGGGCTCACTGTGGCACCCCAAGAGGCTCAGTGTGGCACCATCTGGGTGCGACGAAAAACTGCTCCATTTGAAGGCAGGTTACGTGGAGCTTGACTTAGGGGCAACAGAAGCCGCCGCAAGCCCCCACCAAATATCTGGTGATGGGCAGAGAGTGGGAATCCTCTACTTGTGAAGTCCCTTCTTAAAAGGCGCCCTTGCCTCCTGCAGCTACTAAAAACGTTCCAGAACGCAGCAGTGGACATCATTGAGAGGCTGCCAACCCCGTTTGGCTTGATTCGCTCGGGGGTGGCTCCGGACCACCCGGAGACCAAGGCAAGTGATACCCCCTCAACTCAACCCCCTCGTCGATTATACTCCGTGAGTGCCTTGTTCGAGGTCATCCCCTGAACACAATCTTCGCCCTCTTTCACATCCTCCCAGCCTTGACTGAATACGATTTCTTAGTAGTATGTTGCAAAGTGTGGCACTTGAGATTCTTGAGTGTTGGAGACATAGCATGGAGCTTCTCAAATGTGAGACCGGATATGCAGAGTGAATTCCACAGGGTGCAGAAGTTGGTAGATCTGGGGATCATTCCGAGTAAAAAGTCTTCCCATTCAAAGACTTTCAAATGGTTATAAAAAACAAGACAACTTTGATTGCAGGCAGTCATCAACCAGTTCTCTGCGGTTGCTGCTGGTGAGAGGGTCGGCTTCTTTGGCAACGTGACTTTGGGCAAGGACGTCTCAGTCGAGGAGCTCCAACAGCTATATCATGGGGTCAGCTCAGTTCCTTGACACCACTCCTTTTCATGGGGTCTCCTCATTTGTCTGCAATCAGGCCCTCTTTGGCAAGGCAGGCCCTTTTGAAAGCTTTTTGCTCGATGAAAATTACGGACAGGAATGACTTCTTTGCTCGAGAATGTGGAGCGTCCACTATCTGCTGTTTAAAATTGCAAGAGAAGATACTATATCTTCCCCGTATTTGACTGCCAGAAATGTCTACAACGGAGAGCTATGTCTGGATGAAGTAATCCGACTTCCTGTTAACGCTGCACATCCAAAGTTTCCAAATCTGGTGCATCTGATGAGCAAGTTGTGTGCCAAGGGATCGAAGTCTCAACATGTGATCAATGCAGAAGGAAGACAACAACAAGGTCTTTCCGTTTTCACTGCCAGGTTGTCCTGGCTTATGGTGCCGAGAGCTGTCGGACGCTGGGGGCCCCTGGCGAGGTAGGCCAAAGAGTTTCGCTTACAAATCGTGAGATGTCTTACAAGCAGGATTTGCACTTCAATCTTATGTTGATTCCTGTTGGAATCGACCGTTCATGGTGGGCCTGCCTGCCCGTTCTTGTGTTCTCGCCTCACTGACACATGCAGGCTTCCTCTCCTCGACGTCCTTCATTGTTATGTTCGAGCTTTTCCACCGTACACGGCTTACTACGACGCTTACTAATTAGAGCACCCTTACCCGATATGTCACCAGAAGACGAGGCAGGCCTTCTGTTTTTGTAATGGATACTTTTGCTGCCACTGTTGCGTTCGGCCCTCAACGCACCGTCGCACTCGTATGCAGCTGCTCACGGTCGATCCGTCTGCTCGCAGGACCTGCCGAACGTTCTGTCGGCTCGCGAGTTCGTATGGTGGTACAACGGGCATCCTGACTACGTTTCTCTTCCAGTGGACTTGGAGTCGGCCGAGACCGCTGTCATCCTGGGGCAAGTCAGCATGCGACGCGCTGCCGTCACCTACTTTTCCTGGCTGCTTAGGCGAATTCTAAATGGCAAAATCAGCTCGTCAAGAGGTTGTATCTTCGCATCTTCGTCACAAAGTGATAGTCAAAGACTGTTTGGCACTATTTATGACTGCTTTTCAAGCAACCTTGTTCCCGATTTTCACAATCTTTGGCGCTTTTGCGAAGCCGCGACAACCTCCTTACTTCGCGAGAAGCCACTTATTGTCCTGTCGCTGTACGACGCTTCCTCATCAGCACTCTCATCGATGAGTTCCTTTTGCAGGGCAACGTAGCCTTGGATTGCGCCCGCATTTTGCTGCGCAACACGGACGAGCTCGCTAAAACGGACATTGCGGCCCACGCTCTCGAGGCGCTGCGGAAGAGCAAGGTGCGGCGGGTGCTCGTCGTGGGGCGGCGGGGGCCTGCGCAAGCGGCGTGCACGGCGAAAGAAGTACGGGAGATCCTGGGTGAGTCGTGAGAAGAAAGAGCCTGCAACTTTACTGCTCGAAGTTCAGGGGGAGTGGGGTTTCTGCCAATCTCTTGGTGCAAGCTACTATTATTGCCGGGTACGTACTCTGTGAAAGCGAAGCGCTTGAGAGTCGAACTGGTGGCCTACTTTTGTCATGAGTGTAGAGTTTCTTATAACTCTGCTCGTCAACTCGACCGCTCGAGGCAGTGACGGCCTTGATTTAAGCATGCTCCCTGTTTTCGACACAGGCGGTGGCCTTGCTACAGGGCTTAAGGACGTTAAAATTACCATACACGACAGCGACCTGCAAACGACAGCCCTGGACCAGGTACGCTGGCACTGACTTTTATAGTTTTGTTGGAACACCAGCCCATCTAGTTTGCTAGTGAAGCATTCACCACTTGTTCTGTTTTCGTTTGCTCGTCTTGCAACCACCTCATTGGTTCAAGATCTGCAAGAACTTGTGCTTTACCCACGCCGGGCTCGGGCGCTTGAACATCATTTTTGCCACTCTGATCTTCGCAAAGTCAACAAACGCCGTGCACACTTAGCCCCGCTAACACATAGCGCTCAGATATATTCTTCACAGACCTTACATGGAAAAGTTGGCCGTGCCACTTGGATGGAAGGATTGAAACCATCCGTGAGCGATCCGCAAATATGACGAGCATCAGGAAACAATCTCCCCTCTCCATTCAAACGAAAATCAAAAGGAAAGAGCCTCCGGTTGCTATCACGTGGTAGACGTCGTTTTTCCTACCGAATAATGCTATGTGCTTTTCAGGAGGAGATGAAAGCGAGCCGCACGCATCGGCGCGTCTTCGACCTCCTTCAGAAGGCTGCTTCCAGACCACCGCCAGCGGGGGCGACCAAGGAGCTCGAGTGGGTGTTCTTTCGGTCGCCGGTCAGCTTCTACGCGTCGAAGGACGAGCAAGGGAAGCAGACGGTCGGGGGAGTGCGGTTCCAGAAGACCCGGCTAGAAGGTGAGCTTTTATCACAGGGACCAGCACTCCGGGTCGGTACGAGATCGTAAATGAAAGTGATTCATATGCGGCCCTTTCGTGGGGTAGTATACCCGTCTCGAATATTGTGCAGTACCCTGGTAAGACTGTCTAAAGAGCGAACAGTTAGTAAAGTTGCGCCAGCTTGGTCGCAAGCTGCTTCTACAAAACTAGACCGAAAACAACAGATGTAGTGAGATGTTTCGACACAGACACATTTCCCTCGTCACATCTCAAGGGATACGGACTAAGATCCTGAAACCCTCCTTGGCATCTGCTCAACTAACCGATAAGTCTACTATACTGCAATGCTGAGCTCGTAAACGTGGCTACTCTGCTTTTTCGAAGCACCAAACTCTTCCGAACTCGGAAGATAGCAAAAGAAAACGGGTTGGGTTTACACCGTGGGTTTGTGCAGGAGGAGGCAACGGCAGGTCCCAGAGGGCGGTCGGTCTTGCAGAATTCGAAGACGTGCCGGCCGGGTGAGATGCGAAACCCAGCTCTGACAGGTTTTGCTACAATTGGGCAGATGGCCAGCTTCTAGTATCTTTGCTGTCCCGCAAACGTACGTTCTAGTCCGGCTGCAGTTGTCGAGCGGTTTCGATGTCGGGCCGAAACCCTTTTCTGCGGAGCTCGTCAGCAACGCCGTTGGCTCCAGAGAGTTCCTCCTCCATCCGGGTAAGAAGTGTGATCGCAGTAAGGATTGGGTCATTGTCTTGCAGGCTGGTGCTGCGGAGTATAGGCTACAAGTCGCTGCCAGTGCCGGGCCTCCCCTTCGACTACCAAAAGGGTAAGAACGAACACGTTTATGACGGGGTATCTGAGAAATCGTGGAAAGGCCTCTATCAGACCATCCATCAGCAGTATCCGAAGCCAGAATTCGAATGTTACTTTAGAAAGGGGAGGTCTCTTTATAAACTCCTTCACGTCTTATTGCTACCTATTCCGTAATTGCATGGTACGGATCCCGTTAAGGTCTGCGTTGTGATGCGTTTTCTTGTTTCTCTCGATTGAAGTGAACGCAGACTGCAGATCTGCAGTGCTGGAAGCTCGGGCTGCTTGCTTCATGCGCCTCAACGGCGCCGTCGGTCGTTGCAAAACCTCAACGGAGCAATTCACATACGCCTTGAACAACGCCTTGAACTCCGCCTTCACGTGTGTGTAGCTATCGTACAAGCATTTAGGGTATGTCCCGTTGGAAAGCTTGACTTCAGGCACGCGTTTGACTGGAAATGCAGATTGTCGACGTTCTGCTCCTTAAGAGAAAACCGGTGTCATCCAGCCCGTCTTACATTTTCGCAGGTGTGGTCCCGCACCAGCAGGGCCGGGTTCTTAGCAGCGAAGGCGCGAGCGCGAGCGCGAGCGGGGCGCCAGCGGGGGAGGTTCCGGGGCTGTACGTAGTGGGCTGGCTTAAGCGGGGCCCCACCGGAATTATCGGAACGAACCTGATCGACGCGGAAGAAACGGTGAGAATGCTCATTTGCATGTGCGATTAATGTTCCTGGAAGGGGAAGTGGCTTCAATCAGGTTGCGTCCGAAGGCAGGATCGGTGTTGATTGTGTTACTTTGTGAATTGTGGTTGATGCTTTCGTTCATGTGCCTTTTATTGCTGATCCATGTCGCCAAATTTCGATCCGAGGGCGAAAAGACCCTTCTCGTGGATCCCGTGTGCTTCGAATGTTCTGTCACTTGACATCGTCAATGCAGAGCGGCATTCGTGGCGTGCGGAGCAGCAATTACGCGCAGCTTGCTTCTGTTCGCATCTTTGATCGAATCGGCACCGCTGCAGGTTGCCAGCATTGCTGAAGACGCAAAGCGAGGCCTTATTGGCGGGTTCGACGCCGCTCGGCAAGGCGGCGAGGGGCTGAGGCTTTTGCTGCGGGACAAGGGCGTAACCCACGTGCCTTTCGAGGGGTGGAAGAGGATAGACGCCGTCGAGGTCGAGCGGGGGGCGGATAAAGGGAAGCCGCGAGAGAAGATGGTCGATGTTCAGGAGATGGTGAAAGTGGCAGGGTCGACGTCGTAAGAATGTTAGAGCTTCTGAGACGTAAAGGGCGTGATTGAAAGCTTTCTGCTCGGAGCCTTTGGCTTTAGCCCATGTCTCACACAATTCCCTAGGTCAAGGCGGGCATCTAACGAGATCAGACTGTTTTAAGTATGCATACGTATGGAATAACATGTTATTCCTCGTATGATTATCAATGGGACAGTCACTCTGCAAATGCACAATTCACACCATGCACGGCCTTGAATGATTTTGTTGTCGAACTTCGACTTTATCATCAAACGGGCGCTGCATGCGATGGTCACGAGGACGTAATCATCGTTGTCTTGCTGACAGCTAGCGCGACTGACTAACTGCACAGACCCGGGATCCGGCCTCTCATGATGCTTGCCACTCGACAACCAGAGCGTTTTTGAGAACCGATGATCGAATCACTGTTGCCTTCAATGCAAGTCTTTTTCTCTCTGCGATGAATCATTTGCAACTGCAGGCCGAATTTGATTATTAACAAGTAAGCTGTCTAGGTACACTAGTCGGCCTGTGCCAAGATACCATCATGCATGGTGGCCATGGCCCTGTATGTGTCATTTTGATTGAAGCTGAGTTCTGCCATTGCAACTTTTGGGTGATGATCGCTTTTCGTTCTCGCCGTAGCCAAATAGGCCATAGGCTTCTCATACTGATGGGACGCGCATATTGTTACAACGAACCGGCCAAGCTGGCAGACAAAAGGGCAGCTCAATTTCAGCATGCGTTCAGTCTTTGATGGTATGTTTCGGCAGCTTGAATGGTCTTAGCGTGAATGCTGCTGAATCACATCCGCAAAGATGGCATCTCTGGCAGCTCAATAAGAGGTACCAACACCTGTCATTTTGCTTGCCAGGAAGTGACACGCATCCGGCATCGCAAAAATGCTAAGATAATTCGGTGCCCTGAGAGTGATTTGGGATAATAAATTCTCCCTGCTATCGGCATAACTTGCACTTTATAAACTCGTCTGCAATATCCGACTTCTTGTAAGGTTTTGTAGCTAAACACGTTGGAATGTTTTCAGGCTGCTCCATCCACAGCTTGTGTTTTACACCTTTGGCTTCTAGCTTCTCTGAAAAGTTTCTCAACTGCACCTCGTTCTTAAGTTCCAAGACTACCTGCAGCCAGGTCAGGAACCAGATGACTCAATCTGCAACAGCTTTGGTAAACGGTTTCGAAGATAAGCAGTGCAATGAGTCCTCAAAATTTTCAAAAGGAAGAAACTCGAGCCTGGGCCCCCAAACATTTGGTCAGCTCAGCGCTCAGATACTTTTCTGTCTCTTTCTCAGCAAGGCAAGGTCGTTGATGGGGCTTAAGCAAATGCTTATGGTAGCGACGAATGGTGGTTGCTGTGATTGACAGTGTCTGTCTGGCGGGGGAAGTGTGTCTGTTTGGCGGGGGAAGTGATTCTCAAGTATGATGATCATTGTGGACATGAACTGAGTGAATTAAGTGGGCGTTGCAGTGATTCCAAAACAACGTCAGAAGCAATCATTTTGAAGGGAATGCTGACATGGTGGTGGAAAATGAGTATCAAACAACTCTCACCTTATGCATGTTGTCCAGGTTCGTTCCTGAGCAGTACTCAATGGTGGCAGGATCTTCTCTGTTCAACCAAACTGCAGCAACAGCTGCGTGGCTTGCCTGAGCGAGCAATGCACCCAGGGGCCACTTCTCAACTTCCACCAGATCTTTCCTGATGACTAGATACTGAACGATCGGACTGTCATCAGCACCCTTTACAGCATCGCTAGCAGGTCTTACATCTGCTTTGGCTGGTGGTGCACTAGGGGAAGCTCCAGAATCCTTACTTTCCGCTGACATCCTAAGTCTGTAATCAGTGGCAATCAGGCTGCGGTTGTGGAATCTCCTCTTGCTCTGCTCAGAGAGAATGCTATCACGGTGTTTATTTGTCCTCAAATTTGTTGGCAAGAGCGTCGCCGATTCAGAAATCTGCTTTCTTGCAATCAGATCTCTGCTTTGCCAGCAATCTGCTGGAACCCTGTGACTCCTCTCGAATGGAACACTGCAACGCAATCGCCGCAGACAGCAGCTCGCTGCGGATGTCGAGAAAGGCATTGCAAAGCGCACTTGCTGTCAAGATTGCCCCTGCCCATTGGACTTTGCAGATATGGGCGTCTGTAACTTCACGTTTGAAGGCCGGAACCGAGTCGGTCGGAATGACTCGGTCGCACCGGAACGAAACCTTCCCAAACCCTTTGCGGTGCGCACCGGGGCGGCCGGCCCCCCGGCGGCCACCCCGTGCGCGGCCGGCCGCGTTGACGGATTGCTGCGCGGCATCCGAAAGATCATCTAGATCTGACTATAGTTAGCTGGTTCAAAGCGCAAGACTTTCAGAGTTAAGCCGGTAGAAGTGAATCAGAAGTCCTAAGCATTGGACAGATGCGCGATGTTAAGGATGAAACCATTTCTCATTGTCTTGTGACATGCAAGGTCACCGTCCTATTTCTTTGAGCTGTTGATTGGGATTCTAGGTCTGGGGGAGGGAAAACTGCTTTGAATCCTGAGAGCACTCCCTGTGCATCACTCCTCACAATCAGCGAGGGAGCACGTGTGACAGCCAAGGCGTCCAGATTGCAGAGAACGACGTCATATTCCCGACTGGCAGTTGCTCCAGAAGAATCATAGACACTTTTGGGCACGCTAATGCACGCTACTATACCCAGGGCGCCCCTAGAGTCCTCAACTAGGCTAGCTTAGCTTCAAGCGGACGGATTTTCCTCAGCTGGTAGACCCTCGTTTTGTTGAGAGGAGTGCGGTAAGACGACGAAATGCGCTTGATGCATATAGCACGTTGTTTCTAGCCATGCAAGGTTGCTGAGCGAGTGATTAATCTGCGGAGAGTTTTTTGTTCAAAGATTCTTCTTAAGCACTTCCAAAGATACTTGCTCGTTGTAACATGGATGGATTCAGTCCAGGGCTTGTCACAATATGAAATCCATTGTCAGGCTTTCAACAAGGGTCAGAAAGAAGACGGGCTCACTCAGTAAGCTCTTGCCTCAGCGATTCGTATGTTTCGCTCCACCCTGCTTTCTTTGCAATTTTCCTTGCTTCCAACTGGACGCTGGACAGTTTCTTGCCGTTTAGCTGCAAGGGGGCGAAGTGACGTAATAGTGTAAGCCAGACCCGAAATGAACCGTGCAGACAACCGCTGAAGGCTCAATTCCCTCATCCTCCTTTTCCTAGAGCAGAAGATGCTTTTGTTCAATCGCTGCTCCCCTTGTCTTGGTCACTTCAAGTGCGTGTGTTTTCTGCTACCAGATTGGGACTGAATCGACTCAGGCTGCTTGCTTCATCATGGACACACAGGTGTTTCGTACTGTACCGCAGTCAACGTCCCTCTCATTCGTCTGTTTCACTTTAGCCAGTCAAGTAGTCTTCGACGAGGAATTATTCTTTTCAGCCGGGCCGCGAAAACATTACCATTAGTATGAACCTTCAACGTCCTTTAGGTGGGACTTCCGCCCGATTTCCACATCACTCGATCGCGACCACTTCCATTGACACCGCTTGCGTGCCGAAGGTGTTCTGCGCACATGCAGGTGCTTTGCTCGAAGGTTATCTGCTTTCGGCACAACCATTTCGCAAGTTTTCCGCTCCTCTAGGTCACAGGCGCAGTATTGTCCACGGCGATGAGTTGGATCGATCAACTTCAGAACTTCATTGGCATGCGAGAGGTTGGGATGCCGCCAACGTAGTGACTTTGATCTGTCTTTTTTCTACCTTAACCGCAGATGGCCCTGAAAATGGTGAAGTCCTTGTTAGGGCACTCGCTCAAGAAAAGCGAAGCGGGCTGCCCAGAAGAGGCATCCAGCTCTCCCCTGGTTGCTTTCGAGTGTACGCCTTCGATCTCATCAGAAGGTCTTGGTGGACAGAGACCGTTCCCTGAACAGGCTGTTCCACTCGAGTCCTCGGTTGTTCAACCAGTCGCGGTTGAAGCGCTCGAACAGAGCGAGCTCAAGGCTGAGTTGAAAGCCCTGAGGAAGTTCGTGAAGCTGGCTTGCGTCGCTCTCCGTGCGGAAACCGCGCGCTCGGCGGAAGCGCAGGCGGCCGCGGGGGAGGCCCGCTCGAAGACGGTCGTTCTGCAAGCGCGCGTCGCGGCGCTGAGCGAAGAGCTTGCGCAAGCAAGAGCACAGAATGACGTCATCCATGCGAATCTGGTTGCGCTGCGGACTGCAATGTTGGAAAGGGAAACCGAAAGCGAGCGGACAATCGCAGGCCTTGAGGACGAACTCAGGCGTACCTGCGAGGCCGTTGGGCTGTGCGAAAATGATCGCGAGCGGTTCCATTACGTGCTCGCGCTGAACGGCCAAGAGGGATCCCTTCCCCGGAGCGTCCTGGCGTCCGATCCGGAGTCTCACCTATACAAGATGTACGGCGGCGAGTGGGACTACGCGCGCAATGCAGAGGGGCGCGCAATCGTCACGTGCCACCCGCACCGGTGGGCGCCCATCGTGGAGTACCTGGCGACCGGAGCGATTCCGGCGGAACGGGATCCGGCGCTGCTTGCGCAAGCGCGGTACTGGAATCTGCAAGGTTTGGTTAACGGCCTCGAGGCCTTGACTCCAAGGGGTGATCGTTACGGAAGATGTAGAAGGGAAGGGTTTCACAGCTCGGTGCACGTTTGTTTCCGTTATGGAGAAGCTGACTGGCGCCGATTCAAGAATGGAGTACACCTTTTCGGAGTTCTCGGGACCTCATACACGGTGGTGGACTGTAATTGTGACGGATAAGGGCGTCTGTCTCAAATCTGCTCCGCTTCACGTCAGCAACTTAGGAGAGGAGATACCCAAGAACAATATCGTAATTGAAATCGATTACCAGCTGCTTCTGCGCAATTCGAAGCTCACGATAAGCAGGTCTTTTTCGTTCCGTCCTGGAGCTGGAGGACAGCCTGAGCCCTGGGGGCCTACTTGGAGGGTTTATGGAACGGGCCTCCATCAACTTGTCAGCGAACCGATGGCTAGAGCTCACAACAGCCTAGTCGTTGAAATTGAGGGTCATTATAGTTAATGACGAGTCTTGTTGCTCAGTCCTTCTGCCATTCGCGGGATACGAACTCGACTGCTGTATACAGAATTGCGTCGTATCTTGTATGTAACAATAGCACGCGGCAAAATTGCACTACTGTTATGTACTTTGAGTGCTTGGAGAAACAGCTTATGCAGCAACATTTCATTCTCCCATCTGTCCTTGGTCTCATGACAGAGAACCATTGCGCACGCGGGCTTCATCACCTTCGTCGGATGCACATATCGGAGGTGGTGCAAGAGTGCTGTGCAACAGAGGATTGTGTTGTCGAAGCGGGGCTTCGAGACATGGCACAACATACTGTCCTTGAATGAATCAACCAAGTTGCAGTGACACATTGGTATGCACATGTTATGGAATGATGTGCATGCGCTATTTTGCAATATCCGTTGTACCCGGCGCCACGACCCACGCGCCGGCCTAGCTGTTCGGCGCTGGAAACAGAACGTTACCCAGAAGAGAAATCAAGTCGGAAGGGCTAGTAAAGGAGAAGCATGGATGTCTGAGCTCCTTTAAACGTATGTATAGCCTTGCCGGCATTACAGCGCGAGTCACAAACTCGAGTTGATCAATTTACAATTCCTAAGTTCCAACAGGTTATTGAATATATACCACATGAGCTAGCTAAATGGAACCTTAAGTAAGGCTGTCGATCCAGCGTCGTGCATGCAGCTACGTGCAAGCACACAACGGCCCCCTTATTCCTTCCCACATCAGGATCAATCTGCACATCCTTTGCGCCATTCACGCTGTCAGCATAACGACCCCTTTTTCCATTCGAGCACAGGCTTGATTGTTGAATGAGAGGAGTATGCCAATAAAAGGACGGCCTTTCCGATTATTTACAACAGTGTATGTACAGGGCAACCGGCGGCGCCTACTCTCTCTGGTCCCAACACTTTGACAGTGCGCATCGCTGAAGGTTGTACCCCAACTCATTGTTCAAGGTGCGTCGACTACCTACGGCCCACCGCCAGCCGCCTTCGCTTCTTCCTCCTCCTCTTTTCCGCATCTCCCAGAGAACCCCACTCGATGACCGAGCGAGCATAAGCGAGCGCCCCTTCCGGAGGGATCCCTCTCAGTTGACGCTCCAGTTCCGCCCAAGCAGCCGCTGCCGCTTGAGCGCCTGGGGTGAAAAGTGCACTTTTCGCACAGTTGCTTTGTTCTACAGGCCCGTCTCCGGTTTCCCGACCGCTGCTGCCCAGAGCATATCTTCTAGCGTACAGTTCCCAGGACGGGGCTTCATTTCGGCCTGCAACACCCAGTCCGACTTCGTCGATACGGTTTCTATCTACAAGGGGGAAGCCGGATTGAGGATCTGCCGCGTCCTCAATCTTATGTACAAGGGACGGAGCGGCTGCTGAGCCGAGAGCGGCTAAGAGAGGGTCGTCTTTATGTACAAGGCTGGCTGTCGTCAATCTGTTCGCAAAACGCGCAGAGACAACCGGGGGGGCTGCTGACGCAGGGTTGTCTGAGTGCGAGTACTGCGGTCTGGCCCCTACGGAATCGGCAGGGCGCAAGGGGGGCAGGTCGACGGGAGCAGACTGTTGGAAGGCATCTGGGGCAGTGGCTGGGGCAGTGGTCAACCTGCAGGAACGGGGAGTCGAAGCGATTTAGGCCGTTTTCGAGCAGATTTCGGCATCCACATCATTGCGTCGAAGGAGAGTGTCACAGCGATACGACCTCGGATGTGCTCGACCCGAACTGGATAAGGTAAACGACGTCACGGAGCTCGAGACACTCAGAGGGATTTATCATGCCAAGGTATTGGGTGCACTGGTATGTTCAAGATATTGGAAAGCTACACAGCAAACGCCTTGCTATACGCCTTGCTATACGCCTTGCTATATTCCTACTAAGTACTTCATTCTTGTTGCACTGCTTCCAGACGTAATGCAATTCTCCTCGTGAAGGTCACTGGGTTTTCAGTTCTTCAACTCGAAGTTCTAAACGGTAACACGAAATACTCCTGTGCCATCAATTGAGTGGCTGTTGCTCGATAGGAAAGCGGTTGGAGACAAGAAGCACCTTTTGCCTGGCAGCGGAAGCAATCTTTGATTGCTGCACGCCTTCTGGAACCAATACTCTTTTCATGTCTCCCCAACGACGTTAGAATGTAGCCACCTCCATTGAATGTTAGCCTCAGGGACGACAATGCAGCGGAGAAGCCTCACCGCAGTTGCTGCACTTTCAAGGCAGCGCGCGCAAGGACGCTCGCTACCACCGCCGCCGGCTCCCCTTCGCCACTCCTGGCAGCCTCGTGGAACGCGCCCGCGACCGTACTCCTTTGCTCCGCTGGAAACGTGTCCAAGAACTCCCTCCCACCACTTTCCACGCCTCTCTTTTGCCTGGGTGCGCTTTGAGTATCTTGCATTTTGCTGCCCTCGACCTCGGATCCCGCCAATCCTTGCTGACCGGAACTCCGCTCACAAAGCCCCGAATGCGGCTTGCCAGCCAACGCCTGCACTTACATTCCATTGCTCGCTTTTGCAATGTTGCTGGACCGCTGAATGACGCGCACATCGACCCGACACCTCTCCTGTGGCTGGAGCCCTTCCTGACCATCACCAATGCACCCCGGCTCGACCCCTATCCGACTCCCGTCCTCAGACGCCGCCACCGCTTGCCGAGTGCTCTCCCCAGACCTGCCCTGTCCCACAACCTCGTCGATTCCCAAGTCTCCCACTCCCAAACCATCCTCCAAGGCCCCAATCTTCCTAGCATGAAGGACCCAGTACACCAGGCACTCCGAACTCAACCGCCGCTTCTTCCCCGCTCGCTCCTTCTCCTCCCTCTCCTTGCGTTTCAGCGTAACACTCCCTGGCCCGCCCTCCCAGTCTGTACCCCCTGCCGGAAAGATTGGCTGGCTCGGCGGCCCCCCCTGACAAGCCCCTGCCAGAAAATCCATCAGCCCCCCTGCTTGAGCGCGCCGCAACGTGCACACGAATGAGGAATGCAGCAACAATCTGTGATCGCCTTTGCTGCGGGGTCGACCGCATTTGGCTGTCCGGGCAGGCTTGGGGCCTTTTACCATCACAGCCACCACGCTTCTACGGAATGAAGCGCCGCCGTTCACTGTTTCCCCCACGCCTGCATTTGCAGACGCCCCACCGCTGCTTTCGACCTCAGACTTTGTGTTAGTCCCCTTCGCCGCCACTTGGCACGCTTTCTCTGATTTGCCACCACCGGCGTCGCCTGCCGCTTCAGTACAACCTTTGCATTCCCTCTTCAGAGCTTTCTCCTGAGCGCTCTTCGCACTCCCAGCCTCCTCCGCTTCAATCGCAGCCAGCAGCCGCCCCGCCTCCACCCACGCAAACCCGCACTTCTCCGCCCCCTCCACTCCCTTAGTCACCGCATTCTCCTGCGTCGCCAGGTTGAACAGCAGCGGATCGATGTACGCCACTCGCGCCACAAACATGCAGTAGCTCCCGCCGTTCCTCAACGGCGCGTCAACCCTAAAGACGCCACCAGCACTCCTCAGGCGCGCGCTCATTGTTGACGTGGACGCCGCAATGCTGCAGGTGGCGACCTCCGGCCCGCCAAACAACCCTAGGGTTTCTTCGCTGAACTCGCGTGCGGCTGTCGATTCTGCGTCCTCGTCTATGGCCTCACGGTGCCCCCCAAAGTCTTTCCACCGCAGCGTGTGGCTGCGGGGACCCCAACCCCGCTCCCGGCCCAACAGAATGAGAACCTGTCCGGCTGGGGCAACAGCGAATGGGAGGACGCCGGCAGCCCGGTACTGAAGGTCTTTTGCGCGAGTGTAGTACGGGTGTGCCATTGAAAGTAACAGTAGCGCACCTTCAGCGGACTGGTGCGCTCAATGCGGGGCACCTTCGCTGTCAGCTGGTCCTTGGAAACATGTTGAGCAAAGTTTCAAGAGCACCGGAACTGACTATGCAATCTGTTTACTTCTAAGAATGGCTGATGTGTGCGGCGCAGTTTAGAAACCGGCAGGCAGCTTTTAAGGGCAGATTGCACCTTCCTCCTAACCCTGGTGATGTGTTTGTAGGTCGCCTGCAGAGCTTGGAGTAGGGATTTTTTAAGAGCAGCATTGCTTCAGCAAAAAGATTATCATGCTCACATAATTTGGAGTAACCGAGCTGCCGCCGCCGGCTTTTGCCACAGCATTGCAGGATTCGGGCCTTTGATATCACTGCTATCAGCAATTCAAAAAAATTCCTGGTTTTCCAAGCTCTTGTCCTCATCACTTGAGCTTGAATGCTTGGATGCGCGAAGCAACTGGCGCCATGCAGCTGCGACTTGCAAACTTGCAAGCTCGAGCACTTCCCTGAGGCTCCGGCTGCAGCACTGTACGTCGTCTACTCTTGCCATATTGGCCCCAACGTGGCAAGTATTTGTAGGCCGTGAGATAAGAGCTCGATGAAACTCTAGCCGTTCGATAAACATTCGCGCGAAATGTGATCAAGAGTGTGGCAGTTGCTCAAAAGAGTCTGGGCCAACTTGGAGTTAGAACAGCTTTGGAATATTAAGAAGGGGAACGATCGACACTTTTCTCAAGCTGGCGGCGAGTGGCACGTCTCAACAACTGGTAGAATTCTTCTAAAGCAATATTGAACAGTAGGACTGCATGCATGTGCTTGTGAGTCACTCTATGAATCATGTTCACGTACGAGGGCTATTTATAGGATCAGTGAATCTCCTGAGCCAGAAACTCGCGTGCTCTAAAGCCATACGACTTTCATTGGTCGACGACTCACCACGTGCTGCTCAAACGCGGGCAGCAGCCGACTTGGCAGGAATCCAGGTGCGCTTTTCACTTTTCCACGTCGTAATGATGACTAGCCTTATCCATTCGCTGATCCACAGATCGGCAACATCAGAAAGAATGATTGCACGCTGCAGATACTTGTGCTCTCTTATTATCGATCGATTACAGAGTCCATCCGGCGCACTAGGGGCATGCACTTAGACCTGCTCCCATTGGCAACTCATGTTACGTTATACATCCACTTTACGCTGCAAGAACTCTTCCCTTACCTCTTCATGCGCACTGATGTGTTGCCACTGCTTGATGCTGCATTGAGCGGAACTACAGACTACAAAGGCAACACAAAAACTTTTACCCCTCAGCATTGAAGACAGATTACCTGCAAGCGGGAGCTAAGTTCGGTCAGGGGCGAGCATTTGAAGACGGGGCACGATAGCGGGAAGACTCTGGTCTGCAATTCACTCCGCCATGAGAATGTGCGCACTGAATTTCACGCAGGCATATCGCCCTTCTACCAATAGGGACCATCATTTTCCTGTGTAGTCGTAGTGCTTGTGTAGCATTGCAACGATGGATTGAATCCACTAGCGTTAGCAAGATTCAAGCGGAATCGGGCCAGCTGAGGGAGAACCGAACCCCAGACCTGGAATTTGTTTCGAAAAGGTAAAAGGTAGAGCCTCAGGAGTGCTTTTGCGTGGGTAATACCGCGTTTACCAAGCCCTTAATCCTTGCCCATACTACCGAGAAGCATTAAAGGCCAATCGACCTTCATAGATTGAAATCTGCATTCGAAAAGCAAGGGCAGATACGTACGGGGTTTTGGTGAATCAATCAAGGGTGCCGATGGCGGGGTCCGGCAGAAATGCGGTCGTCTTAGGGCTCATGCTTCTGGCACTGTGCACAGTCCAGCGGCACAAGTTCCATGTCTCTGGCGCATCCGTCCGTCGGTCGTTTGCGAGTTTGGTTGCGCCGTCCTTGGCAGCCTCAAATGTAAGACGGCCTTCCGTTACCTGGTCCTGGTTAAATCTACATCGCTTTCTCAGGTAATCACCTTGGCATGATTCTGAAGTGGAGACGTTGCCCGTCGCAAACGGCGGTTGTAGAGTTCTAACAGCTGTAACGGTTTGGGGGCAATACACTCTTGAAAAGTGGCCCAAACCTGGTCAAAGATATCTTCAAGGAAACTAAACAAGCCGTCAATGACAACGCCGACACTACCTTTCCTTATGGGGCTTCCTGCAAAGGAACTAGATGGAACGTAAAGTCGTTTCAGAGGTGCCTTGTCTCGAGAACTGACAGAACCTTTTCCGCGCCTAGAACGCTGTGCTCGCACGACAAACCTTAGTGAGCTTGTTTCAAGTTTAGCGTTCCTTTTTATCCGCACGTTTCCGCAAAAAGTAGAAACGTGCTGGCTTATTTGCAGGTTGAGACTGACGAGCCCGCAGAGAGCAGAGACTCGGACGCGCACAGCATAACTGTTGCAAGTGGTGAGAATTTGATGTCCTCGAGCACAACGGAGTGCCTGTTCGATGCAGTAACAACTTCTTCATGTCGCAGGCCAACGATCCAGTCAAGTTCGGCATTGTTAAATTAAGTCTACACAAGTCTACACAAAAATGTATTGTAGGGTATTCAGATTTTGTGGTTAAGAGCCCGATTGGGCTGTCAACCCATGTCGCGCTGTCGTATGCTCTGTCCCAAATTAGGAGACTTCAGGAGTTGGCCTTCTTCGAGAAGCAAGCGGCTTTCTTTTCGGCATTTCTGAGCCAGCGAAAGCTGATTACGACTTGTTCCCAAAGCCCTCTAAAGTCCTTGCCCCTCTGACATATTCTGTCCGACCGAAAGCTTTTCGACCACTTGCTATATCCAAAGCTTTCTTGACTGCTTGCGTCTCTAAGTCCTCTTCAAGATGTTGTCCTTGATCGTTGTTATCGTTGTTTTCAACTTCCATCCCGTATGCATGATGGACTGTCAGGATTTTCGCAAAACATTTCGCCTCGTCTCTTCCTTGCCAGGCAACTCCGCACTCGAGCAGACCAAGTTCATTCCCGTCGGCGGCGAGAACTTGCGCCCTTCAGAGAACCCAACACCTGAGTACGCAGACAGCGGACGCGTTGGCGTTTCCCGGACGCCCACCGATCACTGCTCAAACGGCGAATCGGACGGCTGCCGGGCGTCCGTACTGCGGTCTTTGCGGGTTAACGTTCTGGTGGAGAGTCTGCGGCTGCACCGGTGGGGCTTTTGGACGGCGTCGGACGCTGATGAAGCCGATTCGGACGCAGCGGCGTCTGATTTGGACGCTGATGCGGACTGGAATTCGATGTCGAGCGACGAGGTGGATCTCTTTTTCCCGGACGAGGGAGAGTACGAGGACTCGGACGGGGCGACCGGGGAGACGGTCATCCTGCAGCTGCAGGCGTGACGTCAGCCAAGTTGACGTATGAGAATTCTCGGCCCCCTGCAGAGTCTCTTGGACTCTCGCCCTAGTCCATGGCCTCAGTGCGTGTTCAATCTCGTGTGAGCCAATGTACAGACTACGCCCGCGCACATCACCGGCAAAGTGATAACTTCGCGGGTATCAACGGGCTACAGTTGATGTACGCCTTTTGGGAGCGCCTGCTTTCGTTCCGAGGGCTCGAAAGCCGGACCCTCACTTGGGCTCGATCCAGTGCCAATTTTGCAGTTCCGGCGGATGGGGGTTCAGGCGAGCGCTATTCGCACAAGTCGGTGGTTCACCTCTGTTACCGAAGCAACGACTGCGGATTGCGCAGATTGCGTCGACTTTGCTTTTGCACTTATTGGGGGACTTTAGCTTTGGCTACTTTTGGAACAGTGGCAGAAGCTGACAATGACATCGACGTTAGCATAGAGTGACTATCGAAGTGATTGTCCAAGTATATAGCGTCGATGTACGATGGGCAATTTGAATTTTTGGATTATGGGAGATACAAACTGGATATCGAACGGTGAATCCGACGTGCAGAGCAGGTTAGAATTTCGGCGCTGCAGTTTTCAGGTAGGCCATTCAGAATGTCACTTGAAGGTACTACACTATCTTGTTATCTATACGTACAGCCAAACTTGATCTATCTAAATTCGAATTAACTGCAACATTGGCAGTATATAGCCGGCGGTGCCCAGAAGGTACCAGAGGAAGCCGTTCACTGATGAGTTGATCCACTCCAATGATTTCTCGGTGCTTGCTGTGGCGTACAACTGAGTACGTCGTACTAGAGCATGTGAAAGCACCTCCAGCTGTGCAATGATGCTACGCATGGTTAGCGCCGAGCGCGGGCTTTCCTAAAATTGCAGTAATAGTAGTGCGGCAACTAGGTGCATGCATCATGTGATCCGATCATGCGAATTCAATCTATCATATCGAAACTGGCACACGAAAGGGCGATTTGTTATGCGACAACCCATCCTGAGCTGCAGTTATAGTGCAACAGTCCATTCACATGGCGAGATCGTTTGCCAAGATCTTTGACAAAGACTCGAATCACACGTTGTTCATAATGTTTACAGTGTGTGCAGACAGCACCTTGAATGCACAGCAGCTTTCGACAATGATCGACTGGACAGAACTGCAGGCCCACCATTGAGGTAGCCTGGGCCGCCACAATTCATGTTGACAGAAGAGGAGAAGGTTGCTGTGAATGTACTGCCAGCTTTTGATTGATTTGCACACGCAATATTATCTTAGGCAACCCAGAAGGGACATTCTAGCAAGCAATCAGGTTCAAACCCTTGGCTCTTCAGTTCCCTACACTGTCAGTCGATGGCAACACGGCTCTGGTTCGAGGCAAAGCAGGCCTTTGTGATAGGGTGCGCCTCTTGAAATTCTACAAAATTTCAGACTTTCTGCAGATCAATAGATTCTTGCTGCAACACATGCAGCTCAATATGCTAGCGAGAACGAATCGACCACAGTGCGCAACTTGTTGTTGACCTTGTTCCATCTCCTCTCGTTTGCTCCTGTTGTGAGGGTATAGAATTTTCCTGCAAGGCCACACCAGAAGTCTTCCGTGTAAGTTTCCTTGTTCAAGGTTGTGCGCACATGAGTTCGAGACGATCCCCATATGTAATGCCCACATCCTATTCAGGAGGCAGCTCTCAAGCCATTGGGTATATGGTTGTGAAATCCATCTCATGTCCCTCATTCAGAGTTGACATACAGTTACGAAGTGATCCTCACCTCTAGAAATGCCTACGGTCGTCAACGCATGCCTCGTGAAGTTGCGGGACTTTGCCGTGTACTCAAACTGGTAGTACGTCTTCCCGTTGCCGTCGCTTTTCTGCGATTGGACAAAAAGTAAATCTCATCACGAAAGCCATTGGTCCGTTCTGGAGGATTGAGCGAGCAAGGCAATGATGCCCTGCCAGCATAAGAGAAGACCTAGAATGGCGGCTTGATTCGAGCGGCTTCGGATGATTCTCTAGTTAGAAACTGCTCCTTTCTGTAAACGATTAGTTCATCCTCACGGGCGAAATAAGAGGAGGCCGCATGTGCACAAGAACTGATTGTAAGCGCTGTGCTTTTCCTGGCAGCAAATACCTGAAAGTGAAGCGAACAACAAAAGAGCATCATGTATCCACAGCTCATATGCCTAGCGATGTCGATAAGTTTGTATGATTCTCTCGCACAAAAGACTTGATGTACTCGAAAATCGGCGAGCACCAGAAGCAAACAGAACACCCTACCTCGTTCACAGACAAGAGCTTGGGCTCTTGAGTGGGTGACGTTAGCACCTGATCAATCAGGTTTTGGGCGACCTGCAGATTGCCAAGCATGCCGTGAGTGTGGTGACAAGTGGGAAAACCTACCATTTGCAATTGCACTGTCTTGCAAGGATATATCGCGCTGCTCGACCGTCTCCACATAGAATTGGGTCTGCCGTCACACTGTGTTCACGAGAATGGCGCTTCGTCATTTGCTTTTCTGGAGGCAAGCGACAAAAGGTCCAGATTCACCGGATCGTACCTCTTGTGGGCTCCCAATCTCGCTCAGCTTTTCCTTCTCGGTGCCAATAACTGTCACGCTGACACTCTCCAGGGGCTCGATTACGTCCTTGTACACAACCTTCTGCCCCTTAACCGAGACCTCCTGCGAAATGAGAAACAAAGATTGAGCCTTGCTTGCTTCAAAGTGTTCATTGACGGGAAGCAACCAGCAACATGAGTCCGACGCTTTTCCGTTGGCCAGATATTTGATGACCGAGTTATTCGATTTCGCTCCAGGGCAGCGTGCCAAGATGTGAGAATTCTGACAGGGGTGACCCAACACTTGGGACCTGATCGAGGTGCCTCTGCAATTCAAGGGCTCGAAGCGTCTCTTCACGAACGACTGGCTTCCTCAGACAAAGGACGCTATGTAGGGCTTGGACAACCTTGAACTATATGACAGAAACAGGCAGAATGATCGAGGCTGCAGAGGATTGCTCACCTCCCATCCGAAGGGGTACAGGAATTTGAATCCTTCAGAGGCATCCTCTGAGACCTTGAAACCTGCAGGAGCGTCTGCACACACAGGAGAGAGCCGTCGATAACTTGGTCGCTCCTATATCAGGATTCAAGAGAACAGATCAAAGCTCTGCTCCCCGCCTAGTCAGAGACAGAGTGCTTCAGAAGTTTTTCGCTTTTAGACCAGAGTCAAAGGTACGACTTTGACAATCGGTTGCCAAGAGTATATGGTGGGGAGTGAGGCGACCTTACTTGCAGCCTGCGCGGGGAGAGCGGCAAGGCTCAGGGCGGTGGCAGCCCCTAGGAGGATCTCCCTTCTTGTGGTTGAAGGGGCAGCTGGCAGAGCCAAAGTCAATTGTCAGTAAGTACACCCGACAATCAATAGGATACTCCTTTGATGCAGCGAGTCCTATCGATGTACGACACCAAGATTGAGGAACATGATAAGTTTCAGGAGGATGGGTTGGGTCCATGGAGTGTCACGAGGATCTGCAGGGCGTTGCAACTTGCCTGTAGTTTCATCGCTGGAGGCTACAACACATGCTCTCTTGCTGGTGCTGCTTGGCTTGGAGACAGACTTGGAGAATTGGGGGTGGATCTGCAGTTCAGGGAATAATGTCAACTTTTGGCAATTGAACAAAACCTCAGAAGTTCTCTTGCACCTTCTAGAACGTCATCAGCAATCAACGTGAGTTGCCCGGCTACTGTAAACCAGTGATGCTCTTTGTAGTAAGTGAACAACTTGTCTTGGGGCGTTTCTCTTGTCAAGCAAATGCTGGGTGAGTTGCGGGTTTAAAGGCAGCAAGAGATCAGTGGTTGTGAACAGACCTTGGCAGCGAACTGGTGTTGCGCACCAGACTTTGCCAGTCTGTGCTGCCCCAGGCAAGCAGCAACTTGGGGCGCCGCAGCGCCAACAACTGTGCAACTGCAAGACAAGAGACAAGGCATCTGAGATGAGAAGAGTGGAAACCAAAGTGAGTCTTTGCTTGGATTGAAGCGTGCAGGCTTTTCGAAAGTATTCTGGTCATAGCAGATGCATCGGAGGAGTGCCATGTACCGATACATTTGGTGTAGCTGCAATGAAATAGCTACTGCAAACAAGCACCCGTCCTACCGGCAAAGCTTTAGTTTTAAACCCTTGAAGTTTGAGCCACAACTTTCGGCCGACCCCACATGTCAAAGTTTGTGGCCAAAAATTCGGACAAGATTGAGTTGTTTGAGAGTGAAGTTCCGAATCCTGTCAATCAAGCAATCAAGTTTCGCGCGCCTGATGGTGTCATTGAGTGGTGAGACGAAACTTCCTCAATTTAAGAAGACAAAGCCCACATTCTGCAATTGGGAGCACGGGTGCAGTTGGGGTCAAAGCTACAGTAACTAAGGCTTTGCAACATAACAATGCAAGAAGGAAAGGGGAGCTTGAATGTCCGACGTCTGCAAGATGCAAAGCTCACGGCGGCAGCTCAAGGTGGCAATAGTTCTGACTTGTAATGTAGATTGTAAAAAGGCTCAGCTGAAAAAGCGGTGTAAGCAAGTCTACCACACAACAGCAAATGCATATGTGTGGGGCATGCCAGATGATTGGTTTGACGGAAAAGAGTCTCTATGGTATTAAAAAAGGATATGATATTCTGCATGTTGAAAGTGTATAGGCATAACAAGGGGGCCACTGAAGCATTTGCTCTCCGAGCTCCCTGCATTTGCAATGAAAGAGTAGTTTCTTACCTCTGCATGATGGCTTGATCTGAAACTGTGGAGTCAGCTTTGCAGCCCTAATGACGCCCCAAAGGCGATTCTAATGCCACTTGAATGGATGAATGCGCAATCCAATCTGCCACCAGCTTCATCAGTGGCACTGGCAAATGGCTGCATTACACCACATTCATAATGAGGACGTCCGAGAAAAATTTAGGGGCAACTTTGAAGGACCATACAGAGGTAGATCGACGGTCCATGAATCAAATACCAAAACTGGACGGCCTTCAACCAGTCGGACCAACATTCTGACGGCGTCCGGATAAATGGACGACGTGGCCAACTCCATAGCCACTTCCACTGCCTCTGCCAGGCAAGGGCGTCACTGCAATTTGCAAATGCAGGACTTCGGAAAACTCTGCTTGAAGTTGAACTCGAACGTGAAGTTCCTGAGGTTTTAGTTTTGCCATTCGTTGTTTAGACACAAGCTCTTCAAGTTTTGGAGCCCTCTCACCACTACACTCACCACGCTGTCATTTGCGGGGCATAAGAAGTTCTCGCTCTCCAACTGTGGAAAGAAGGGCGGCAGACCATACTGTCTGAGAGATAATTCTTGGAAAGCATTGCACAATGCAGGCGGTCGCCGCACCAGCATGGAATCCTGTGGGGGTGCGATTCCTGCATCGATCCTCTCAAGTGACTTCTGGGTCTAATGGAGCAATTGCTTGCCACACCACCTCACATCATCGACCCTACGCCCATCTTCCATCTACTCAGCGCTTCCGAAGCCCTAGGAACGTAGGAAACCCGTCCGCACAGGTGTCTTCATGCAACTTCTTATCAGGAGATCTGCAGTGGTTCGGATGCACATCTGTCCAACTAACTGAAAGAAGCCCCAGAAAGAATCAATCATTGAGAGGCGGCCGGCATTCAATACGCGCCTCTTTGGAAGTAGGTCCAGTGGGTGATGGAAAATCGTTGCAGCTGAAGGAGAGTTTCTCTGGGGGGGGGCATGAAGCAGCGAAAGAAGGGGGGGGTGAGGAAAAGAAAAAGGTGGTGGTAGTAGGGGCAGGGTGGGCAGGTCTGGGCGCAGCACACCACCTCATCAAACAGGCAAGAAAGAAGTTCTTCTCTATGCTTGACTTGCTGATGCGTCAAGCGGATGAGTAGGGCCTCTGCAAAAGTCTTACTTTCTTCAGAGGCTTTGGGGCTTGATGGAGCGTCCTATCTCAGTCTTCTAGTCTGGTCACGTTCTGGTCCAAAGAGCATGGCTCACTAGCTCTTGTCTTTTCTGGGACAGGCGCTCAGCAGATCACTTGCCCCATCTGAAACATGACCACTTTCGAAATTGATGCTGCGTGTTCGGTGACAATGAAAGCTCAGATTGTGGGATGAAAGAACTGATGACTTTGATGTTATTTGATGAGGGGCTCTAAAGATCAACTTGCTGTTCAAATCACAGTATGTGGACCATGGAATGAACATCTTTCAGGGGAGAATTTGATATCTCAAGAAGCCAAGAAAGCGCACACCATATGAGTCTTGGGTTGGACCTGGGCTCCTTTTGGAAGTGATGGAGTGTGTCAAGGGACTCCTTGCGGACATATTCGTAAAAAGTTGTCCGCCAGTTTTACGAGGAACACAGAACTAAACTTGGAGGTCTGCTTCGGTGTTTGAAGCCTGCCCATCTCTGGAAAGAGTTATCGAGGATACGTCTTCATTTTGCAGGGCTTTGATGTCACTTTGCTTGAGGCCGGGCCTCAGCCAGGGGGCCTAGTGGCGGGCTGGAAGACTGACGCTGGCCGCTCCGTTGAGGTGGGGATACATGGTGAGCCGTTAAGTGGTGTCAACCTGAAGTTTGTGTTGTCCTGCCCGGGGCCACATTCCAGTTTGTTGAGGTTTGCAGTGAGGTTTGCAGTATTCGAGTTTGCGCTTTAAGTCCTTACTTTTGGACAGAACTCTATCCTTCCATGGGTTTGGTTTCGAGTTCGCGCCAGACTTACTTTTCACAAATAGCCGTGGGCGGACGGATCAGGAGCTTGATTTTGTTGAATGAAAGAAACGAAGAAGAAGGGAAGGGTTGAGGGAAAGGGAGGAACGAATGGGAGAAAGAACGACAAGTAAGAAAGATTAAAATTCAGGGCGGTGGGTCTTTTTTTCAAGAGATCTAAGAACTACTTAAATGCCATTCTCAGTCGGGCTTGGGCTGACGGCAGGAGCCCTGACGGTAAGTATGACCTCGTTGATTTGTAAAGTTTAACGAGCTTGGAACGAGATGAAGAACAAAAGGAAACCCAAAACGAAGCGTACATTCTATCAAGAGAACGGGCAAGTTGAAGAGAGCCTACGATGCCTTGCATAAAGCTGCACTAATTCCGGAGTTTTCGAGTGATCGATCTTCAAAGGAGAATCGGAACAGAAAGTTCGGACAGACGAGGATCCAAGAGACAGGAAGGTCAGAACGTGCTCCGATGCACGTAAGCTACCACTATTTCCACCTCTGACTTTCTCTCCTCTTCAAAGAGGATTCCAGTTACAGACTATTGCTTATCTTCCAATTCAGTGCCCGACCGCATCCCCTCCCGCCCAGCTTTTTGAGACCCCATGCCCAAAGCGAAGCCACCTCTGATTTGCTCCCCCACTCCCAAGTTGTTGTAGTTTAACCCTCCCCTTCCGCTTCTCATACAAAGATCCACTCCCCTCTCGCTCACGCTTACAGTATCTGCTACCCGCCCAAGTTTCCCACTTTCCGCCCAGGCTTCGTGTGTCCCCTAAACTATCTTCTCCCGAAACCCCACCCCTTCCGCCCAGGTTTCTGGTACCCCTACCGCAACATCTTCGCGCTGACGGACGAGCTCGGCCTGCGCCCCTTCACCGACTGGACCAAATCTTCCCAGTACAGCCCCTTCGGCTTAGAAGTCGAGTCGCCCATCTTTCAGGAGATGCCGCGGTTGCCGAGTCCCCTGGGCACCTTCGTCTGGACGCAGTTCCAAAGGCTGCCGCTCGCGGATAGGCTGACGGCGCTCCCGCTGATGTATGCGGTGGTGGACTTTGATAACAGCGACGAGGCGTGGAGCAAGTACGACAAACGTGAGTGCGGGGGGCGTATGCTCAGTCAGTAATATATACAAAAGGATTTGTTGTGTCTAGCATGCTGTGCTTGGACGTGTTGCAGGGTACAGGAGAGGACGTCGATTGAGAGTGAAGTCAATATTCTCACGGAAACCTTTTAGTCGTCATGGACCGGAGGCACTCTTGCATCGACTTTCATCTCTCGCAAGCTTTCACCAGGCGACCAAGGCAGCTACGAGGACAAAAGCTGGCCGAAACGTCGGCCGAACTGATTCGTTCGACCGTCCCGTCGGCTCTCCGTCGGCTCAGGCGAGCGCACACCGATCCAGATCAAAGGTGCATATATCTTGAAGCAGGTCTACTCCACCGTGTTAATCATTGATTGTCCAGGCCTAGATTCATGTGGTCCCGCTTCCGCCGGCCCCCGAGCTTTGTTCCAGACGTCCATAAGCCTATCTTTTCCTATTTTTCTCGGAACAAATATCTTCGTCTGCAGTAACGGCGCGCGAGCTGTTCAAGATGTACGGCTGCTCGGAGCGTGTGTACACCGACGCGTTCAACCCGATGCTGCTGGTCGGGCTATTCGCCCCGGGGGAGCAGTGCAGCGCGGCCGCGGCGCTCGGCATGCTCTACTACTTCATCCTAGCGCACCAGGTAAACGGGCGAGCTCTTTGCTTTCGCTCAGATTAGGAGACTTGCGCCTCAGCAGCGCATTGCACGTTTTTCAATCAGCTGCTTGTATCAGAGTTGGCAGAGGTAAGCGGTTGATGCAGACCGCAAGTTGGCATTACGCGTCAGCTTTTGAGGAGGGCGCGACTCATGAATCAACAAGGAGAGGTGAGATCGCACAGATGTGACGTTGAACAGGAAAAATCAGTGTATCATTTTTGTCTGACAGCAAAGGTTCGAGCCTTTCGATGTCGTCTCCCGAATCGGTACGACCGAACCTTGTGAAATGCAAATGTTGATGCCCTGAAACAGTTACTTTGGACTCAGACTGCCTCGTAACCTTCGCGCAGGCCGACTTCGACGTCGTCTGGTGTCGGGGCACGGTGGGCGAGCAGATCTTCCGGCCGTGGGTTGAGCGCATGCAGAACCAGGGCGTACGGTTCCTGGCGAACAAGCGCGTGTCAGACCTGGTTCTAAACGAGCAGACCGGGGCCGTCTCGGGCGTGGTGTGCGGGGACGAGACGTTCGACGCGGACACCGTTGTCTTTTCGGTGGGGATCAGTGGGATGCAGAGAATCGTGGCGGGAAGGTTAGCGCGTCTGGCGTCTAGACTGATGATGCACCTTGTCATGAAAATGCTTCAGGGAAATGAATGCTCTTGGATCCATTGACAATTACGAGATTCCGATCCATGAGGACGAGGCCCACGAATCTGACTGCGTGGCTTGCCGGTTGATTGTATGTCGCTTATCAGCTCTCTTAGCTCGGTCCGTTGAGAACAGCAATTACGATAAAGAACAGGGCGGGCAGCACAGAACAGTTAGAGGGAACGCCCCAAACCACATCAACGAGCACACTGCAAAAGAGGAACTAGGTGATCCAAATGCACCAATATGATTGTGTTTCATGCCACACTTAAACGCCGTGTTCGAGCTCTCGTATGCTGCATGGATTCTTCATTTTAACATGTCAAGAACCCTTCTCCTCTGGCTGCAGCTCAGTGCTACGGACGCGGGACGAATTTCTGAGCACAGCGAACTTAGGCGCGGTGGACATTTTGGCTGTCCGGCTATGGCTGGATAAAAAGGTACGGGTCTCTCTCCTCCGCGTTCGAGATCCGGAATTCCTCTGCGCCATCGTTTTGCTTCTTCTAATGTGCTCTTTTCGTGTTTGCCTCCCTCGAAAACCGCATCGATGGAGGCACTCTGCGGAGAAGCGGCAATGTGCTGCTGGCAACGGATCAATTGGGTATCCTACTCGACCAAAGGCGTTTGACTCAATTCCCCTCCTTGAGCGAATGCACAGCTTTCCTGATTTAGTACGCCTCGGCGTCGGTGCGCTTTGCCTGCCAGGTTGTGAACTTTCTCGAAACTTTCCAAAAGATAGCAAAAGTTGGCTTTAGCTGCGGTTATTCGGTGTTGTCTTGCCATTGTGCCGAGCCAAAAGTAGAGCGACTTGGGTTGCGACGCCCCCCCGTGTGGTTTGCAGATCCCCATCCCCAAGCCCAGCAACGCGTGCTTCGGCTTTGACAGCACCACCGGCTGGACGTTCTTCGACCTCAACGCGCTGCACGACGAGTACCGCGACGAACCGGGGACCGTAGTCGAAGCGGACTTTGTGAGTGCCCACTGCTTTTTATTCACGTCTACAGCTAGACGAATGATTCAATGGATTGTCTGGTTCCTTTCATGTAAGAGAAGGAAGGCCCAATTTCTTGTCCAAACCTGTCCTACAAATCCCGGTGTCTGTGCTTTGGATGTTGTTGAGGTCTTTATGGCACTTCTATTACAATCCAGTCCCAGGAAAGATTGTTCATGGCACCACAATTAAAACGAATTCTCAGTTGTGTTCTCAGTCGGACTCCTGCTGTTTCGGAACCTGACAACATGTATCCTCCTTACTCTCCGCTTCTCCACGTGCAAAGCGGCACCGTTTTTACGGTATTTTCCGTACTATGATCGAGTTGCGCGATGGCTTATCTGCGCACTAGTCCTCCAAGAGCACCTGTTGTGCTTTGCGGCCTTTGGTGTTGGCGACGTCACTTTTAAATTGCAAACTCGTCCCCCTGTATGCTTGAAAGCTTCCCGGCGCCTCCGAACTGTTCCTTTCAAGCTGGGCTCTCCTCTGACCCCCTCTCCCTTGTAAAAGTAACACGACGAATGAAAGGCACTAAAGTTGACGTCATCGATCCTGACTGTCCGCGAGAGGAGCTGACGTTCTGCGTGTCCGCCCCTGCAGTACCATGCGAACCAATTCCTGCCTCTAAGCGATGACGCCATCGTGCGGAAGGTCCAGAGCTATCTTGCCACGTGTATACCGGAGTTCGGAACGGCCAGTGTCAAAGAGTCGGCGGTCGTGAGAGTGCGACGGGCGGTCACGCACTTCTCACCAGGTGAGAAGCGAGCGGGCGTTCATTATATCTGCTGAGAGTTTCGTTCGCTTTGGCCGTAGTGTTGCACATTTGAAGAGGCCTCGGTTCAGCCAGTACGAAAGTCGGAACAAAGCTAGGATCTAGTTCGCGGCCGTATTCGAGGCTGCAGATCCCGAATAGAAGCCCGACCGAGGGACTCTATAGAACACCGGCGAGTTTTGGACTTCCTGCTCCAGCCACTCGGGCTTCTATATGGACCTTCGAGCAACTCAAGGCGGCATTCACTCGGAACGTCAAGGATTTTTGAGCCCGTATAAGTTGCTCCATCTTCTCCTTCTTCCCGGTTCACGCCATTACTTCTCGACAAGCTCACAGACCATCATTTGAGACCGCATGGTTTTGCTGCTTTCCAAAATCCTAAACCGAGGCTGTGTTAGGCACCACCATTACTTTGGTTCCTAGTTGGACTTCTCGCAATTTCGTGCCTCAATTCGCTCGAGCTACGCAGCCCGTCATGCTGCTCTATGGCCCTACCCTTAACCTGGCCCTTAAACCTGTCCTTCGCAGGCTCGTACCCCAGCCTGATGCGCGGCACTACCAGCTTTCCCAACGTGTTTATGAGCGGTGACTGGATCGTCAACCGGCACGGCTCGTGGTCGCAGGTGATTGCCCTGAGAAGTTTCTGTGCAGTTATGAACCTTAAAGAAGCCATCACAAATTAAAAATCCGTTTGATACGACTACGTCTAATGCCAATCACGCATTCGACAGGCCTGGTAGAAGCTCGACCGTCACGGTTATATCATTCTGTATTGGTTTACGAGACGGATCAAAGGCCCTTCGGAAGGCCCCTCACCTGACGATTGATGGAAGGCGGCAGGTGGCGTTTGAAAGGCACACTGCGCCCAACCGCTGACTCCGTCTCCCAATACTATAGCAAATTATTTTGAACCCGGAGTAAGATACTCATTTCACGTTAGTTTTGATCCCCCTTTTCTTTTGAGTCTGTCACATGAGGATGCCGTCCCTGCTTTTCATAATTCGTTTGCCCGGTTGATGCTCACTCGGGCTCTGATGTGGCACAGGAGAAAGCCTTCGTGACGGGCCTGGAGGCCGCGAATCGGGTAGTGGAGCTGTTCCGAAAAGGAACGCTGGCGAGGATTGTTCCCGTGGAAGACGATGAGCCGCATGTGACCGCGCTGAGGCAGGTCAACCAGGCCGCCAAAGGGGTGATCTCCAGGCTCCCCTTTGCGAACTACTTTTTGTAGCGCACATTCTTGGCGGCTGAAATAGCCAGAGCCCTGGCACCTGAGGGAGTCATGGGCGGGTAGGTATTGAAAGAAAGGTGCACTGGCATACTCGGGAGTCCAGGTAATTGTGTTTCGATTTCGAGCACGCATGCGTTGGGTGGTTGTAAGGCGACTGCCACGGTTCACGAGTTGAAGGTACATGGTCACGGAGCTCTATGATTGTGCGAGAAGTGTTTATAAGCGCCCCTTGAGGGAGGCTTTCAATCTTGTCGACCTTTTCCCCACTCAGCAGAATCGTGATCTCTGATCTGAAAGTTAAATCATGCGATTTCCGCGCTCAGTGAGCCCTGGTCAAAGGCCATGGAAAGCATCATGTAGGGTTAATGCTAGGCATTTCTCTATGGAACCAGAGCTTTGTCGTCAGTATCAAGACGACACTGCACTCGGATGTTATGCACGGGATATAAGTGCCGATGTCCTGTCATGATATATTCAGGTCAGGTCGCATGCTCCATGGCACCTAGGCGCTGCACTGGTCTGCTCAAAGCTTACTAACAGTGTGAGACATTCGATGACATGGCTAAGGCCGCCGTGCGGCGCCAGCTATGGTAACTGCGCGGCAGAACCAGTGAGCACTGCTGAGCTCATGGCCTGCGCCATGTGGGCATGGTCGCGGGAGCACGAATCATTTGCACTGCGGCAGGCAGATATTGCACATTTTGCGAACGACAATGGCAAGAGGTTTGCAAGAGCCTAAGCTAAACCACGCTTTCGAATGCAGAATTGATGAGCTTGTATAGGGGCAAATGTTTAATTCAAGTATGAAGACGAGCTTGTTATATGCGATTTGCAAAATTTTCCCAATACTTCTGCTGCGCGGAATGCATAACCACGCAATGACTTGATACAGATCGCTTTATCAAAATCCTCGCGTAAGTGCATGTGCCGCCGATCTTTTGCATGTGATGCGACTTCATGCAGCATGCAGGGGATTGTTGAGGTGAATAATTGTTTTGTGACTTGAAGCACTGGGCACTCAATTGGAGACGCCAAAATTGTTGAAAGACCAAGCTGGATCTTTGATACACCAGGTTGCTCAAGGTATATCCTTGACCTACTTCTGAAACACGTTGGCATGGCCAAAACTATAAGGCTGGTCAGTGCAAGTGCTAGAGACCGCTGACAATGCTGCAAAGAAACTCGGACTGTACAGGTGCTTATTGGCATTTGATTGCCCATATACAGATTTGGTGCTCCAAGGAAAAGCAAACCAAGCTGTAGCCGCATGCTCAAGCTGCAAACGACTTGCCGCATCCACAGGTGGATGAGGCGTTGGGGTTCTGGAAGCTGAACCCTCCCCCAATCAGTGCGTCGCTATAGTCTAGTTGCATGCCGAACAGGTAAAGCAGGCTCTTTGGATCACACACTGCAAGAAAACACTGGCATGTCACAGCGATGTTTCGTAAACCAGGATATGCACACAAAGCACCGCAGTGATCAAGCGCCAGCTGACCAAGAATAGTGGCTACATGTACGTCCTGAGGGATCGGTTACCAGCATGGAGTACTTCAAAGTTCAGAAGAGCAATTTCAACGCTGTCGAGTCCATCCTACCAGACTGATCATCTATAGTCCTTGTCCTTTATGGCCGCTTTTTTTCAACACAAAAGAACCACCGACCCTAGCACAACCACAGGGTACTATCCAGATGATGATACGAAATCTACGGCATTGCCAAAAGGGGATTCGACATGACTTACCCATTGTGAAATCCTCTTGGTCAATCAACGAGTCCTCTTCCCGGATGTTTGCCCGCTCCTCAAACTCCATCACATACGACATGCCTGAGCAGCCGCCCTGCCGGACCCCCACTCTCAGCGTCAGATCTTTTCCCGACTCGTTGCGCATCCGCTTGATGTGTGCGAGGGCCTTTTCTGAGAGGCTGATAGCCGGGGGAAGAGTTGGGGGAGAAGGGGTTGCTGCACAAGATGCACCACCCTTTGAGTATAACAGAAACAAATGCTTCCGAGCCAGCATTGTCTGGGAACTGCCATACGGCCCCCGTTTGTCACAACTTTCGCTCTAGACGCTTCCGTTCTTCTGAAGGAAATATCGTTGCTTATTGATTTAATTGTCCGTCGCAAGGGTTGCCTTCAAGTGCCCCAGAAGTTTGACGAGCAATTAATATGACGTCAGAGATATAGGGCATCACCACCTACTGCGTTCATTTATTGGCTCTGCAATCGCTGCAACCCTAAGATCAAGAGATTGATATCTCATAATGATCAAAGTCCTTTGTAATATTCTGCACCTGCTCCTCAAACGTAATGTTGCGCAAGCATCAAGAAGCCCCATTTTCAAGCGAGTTCAGTGAAATACTGCAAGAAATTACAAGCCCTTTCGGAAAGCATCTTTTCCACCGCCACAGACACCCTGCTTTAGGGAAAGGTAACTTCATCTCAAGGAGACCTGAAGAGCATCCTAAATTACAAGGGGCCATCTGCAAGGCCTCGAAACGTAAGCACAACCATTAACAAATCATACATCCTCCCTTTTCACTCCCAATTCCAAGTTCAGGTAAACGATTGCAAAGTGCCTGTGAGCGTGTCATGATAGGCACCAAATAGGCCTCCTGATTGCAAACAGCCGGAGAAAACCAACTTACCCACAGAGCATGTGATTCGACCTTTTGACCGAATGCTTCTTAGGCCACTGGGCGTGTTCCTATTCAAGTTAAGGACAGCAATGCTCTGATGAGGCGCATATTGCCTGGGGTGCAGGTTAATCGAGGGTGCGCTCAATGCCCCCAACCTCATAGCACAGGCTGTGGACGCCATCCTGTCAGCTTACAGAGACTCTGTTCACAATTAAAGGGCCAGCAAAGCTTCAAATCAAACCCAGCTCCGCACCAACGCAAACGCAACGCAACGCCACAAGACTTAAGAGAGTGTTCTTTTGTTTTCTCAAGCTTCTGTTCTGAGCAGTGAACTTTAGCTGAGCTTTTCCAAGTTGAGATATTTTAGCGCCCGAGGGACCACTACTATTAGGGGGTTCGCTTTTAGGGGTTAAATTCTAGAAACTTAGGATCACGTAGCAGCGCGGAGCGGGTGGGTTTGTTTTCACGGTTTCAGTTTGTCCTCCCGGTTCCCATTTCATATCTCAACCAGGGGTAGTGGGACGGTACCGGTCGGTAGTACGGTACCTACTACCTGGGTACGGTAGGTACCGTACTGGTACCTACCTAGTTAGGTAGTACCAGTCACTCACAGAAGGTACCTAGCGAAACCAGGACGGTACCAATGGAGCACCGCCCGGGCACAGGTTCTACCTGGGCGAAACCCCTAGGGCCTAGTATACCCCATAGCCTAGTTGGGCTCCGCGACTCCGAACTTCGTACTACATTATGAAGTCCTTGCCCGCGTCCGCCACGCGCACTGTCGCGGAGTCCACATTTCGCGGGCTTCAGCATCGCCGTTCACGAGAAATCGAAACCAATGGAATCGTACCGATCTGGAGACGTGGAGAATTAGAGGTACGTACTTTCACAGTAAAACAGCAAAAGTATCATACCTGGATAGCAGCGGTACCTGTTTCGGATTTGCAGGGGATGCGCCAAACTCGGTGTTTGTCAAACAGATTGATGAGGAAGGCGGGATGCATTATGCATTATGCAGCTTGGTGGAGCAAATGGCGACGACCATTCCTAGACTCGCTGAGGAGTCAGACTGTCAGAGTAGGTAAGATTACTCAGAGGCAAGCTGAAATTTGGGGAAGCATGTACCGCATGTTTGCCAGGGCCAGCTGGCCGCTAAGACTACCTAGCTTAGTAGCTGGTGGTAGTACCTAAGGCTTTGAAGGCTGTAATCTGCTGACAAGTCTGCATTCAAGACACACACACCTCTCTGCAGCAATTTCTTATTTCTGGAACATCTAGGCGAAGTCAGCTGCTTCTCTTGCAGGGCCCAATGGTTTTATTGGATGCAGTGATGGGTGGTCCCGTCCTGCTAAGACGAGCCTTTCTTTTTGTTACTTGTTGTCTCCTTCTCAAAGGAGTTCCATCACAAGGACTGTCAACCCAAGGTAAGTGGATGTCCCGCTCCGAAAGCCTCCTGCAAATTAACAATCTCTCAACCTTTTATCAGAGGGGCCAAGATGCGTGGTTGAAAGGAAAGTGGGCCTTTGCATTAGACGAGCATTGTGACAGCTGGCGCACCAGCAGCAACCCAAAATCTTAGAGTTAGCGGAATTCTGACAGTGTGAAAGCTTAACAATGCAACTGACTGTGGAAGTTATGACCACTCCGAGCCTGTCGCTGTGACAATTCTGGCCACCTTCAGTATCTTGTTGTTCAACCATCTGTTCTTTACAATTGCAGAGGCCCTGGGCATAGGGAGCCCCCAGTTGGCCAGCGAACATGGTAAGCAGCCTCACCTTTCCGGCGCCAATGAACAGGGCTGTGTTATACAAGTTTGACTTGCGCTGACCGGGAGTGATTCTTGTTCAGAGGGAGCGTATATCTGCTCGGCTCTTGAGAGGGGGATCCCTCACTTGTTCTCAACTGGTAGCATCAAGATTGTGCCCTTCCCTGAGGACGTTTGTTCCTGTTGATTCTCCCGTCTGGTTTTTCTCATACTTGACTTGAACATATCTCATATACAATATCTCAGATGCACAAGTTCGTTGGCAGGTCTTCGGGACGACAGGCCCCGGCTGAAGAAAGGCGAGACGTTCCCTATTGTGATCAACACGTGGCCATTCACGGATGCCACGCAACGCGCCTGGGAGGTTGTCAAGGACGGCCGTAAAGCTCTGGATGCGGTGGTGCAGGGGGTGACGGTGTGCGAGGAGGAGCAATGTGACGGGTCAGGTTAGTAATTAACGAGGCTGGTCGGTGGCGATTATGTGCACTACAGACAGGCAGACATCTTTTGTTCGAAGTTGGTGCAATGTGGAGATCCAAAAGCGCCTGTGCTTCTTTTCTTGAGCATGACGCGCCTTTGATGACCATCGCAATGGAAGGGTTTTTGATGCCATAAGGTGCGAGGTTCATGAACAATACTCTGCGACACTGTGGCTACAAAAAAGCGACTCCAATTGCTGGCCTGCTGGCTATCATCTGCTTTGAAGTGACATGGTTCTGTAAGAATTTTTGCTGCTGAAGGCAGGCCTGCTTTTTCCCGAACTACTTGACAGCTGTCAGAGGCGCAGAACCACTCGTTACTTGTCTGAAAAGCACAGATCTTGGAGATGTTGAGTACATTGCGGCTTTCCCATTTTGTTCACGATCTGGTTAATTCCTGAATCCAGGCTGTTGTCTTATTTCAGTTTTCAGCAACTTTTCTCCCTTCTTGGCAGTTGGCTATGGGGGCAGCCCGGATGAGAACGGCGAAACCACGTTGGACGCTCTTGTGATCGACGGTTCCACAATGAACGTGGGAGCAGTGGGGAGTTTGAGGCGGGTGAAGGGTGCGGCGCAAGTGGCACGACTGGTGTTGGAGCATACGAAGCACAGCATGCTAGTGGGAGAGCAGGCGACCGAGTTTGCGAGGGTGGGTGTACCAACCACTGCCTTGCGTTGCTTGTGTTTGTTCAGGGTTGCGCTTTGTCGTATTGAGGCCTTTTGCTTGCTGGGCGTATGCAACAAGCATGGCTAGCTTGCTCGCGAGGATCACGGCAGCTAAAGCGGCTATGGAGTCAGCGAGAGGCTGCTGTCAGATCAGGTATTCAAACGCAGTTAGCTGATGTGAGCTCCGACCAACTCTTGTCACCTTTAAGCAAGCAAAAGCATGCACAACTTTGGACCGTGTCATTAGATCAATTGCTTCTTCTTCGCCAAGAAAGCCCCTTTTGCTTAATCAAAGCTTATCCTTCTCTGTGCAATTGTTGACAGAGAAGTCCCCTCTTGCTCATCAATCTCCATCTTGCTATCAGCTCTCGTCTGGGAACGTCTTTGCTCACAAGGTGACCCAGGGCCCTCTCTGTGTGCAGTCCATGGGTTTCCCAATAGAGGACCTGAGCACCCCCGAGAGCCGTGCCATGTGGGACTCGTGGAAACAGCGCTCGTGCCAGCCCAACTTCTGGGCCAACGTGCAGCCCCCCTCCTCCGAAACGTGTGGCCCTTACCGACCCGAGGAGGGTGCGACTTCTTCAGATGCAGCGGCCTCCAGTGGGGGGGGAGAGAGGGAGTTCTTGCGAGCCACGGTTGAAGCCAGCGTGGCAACGGAGAAGGGTTTACAAAAGGGGGGGCGCCCACAGGGGGAAAAGTGTGGGAAGGAAGACTCGGTAGCGGAGCCGGCGGGGAGGAAGATGAAGCTGCCGGAGGCGGGGCGGAGCAGGATTGGCTGGGGCAAGGGGGTGGAGAAGTGGGATGTCGATGACAGGTGGGCGACTGTGACCCTTCTTGGATTTTCCACCACGCTTGTAGGAACTTTAGAAGCATTTTCCTTCTCACCGTAAGTCAGCGCACACTTGGTGGCTCTTCACTGACGTAGGATTGGTCAAATTGTTGGGAAAGCTGTGCCCTAGTGTCGAGCCTCATTCACCATAGCTAACCTGGCCTTCTGTCAGAGGCGCGATTTGACAATCATTCAGTGCTGCCAATATGAAAATGGTACTGATAACCAGCTGAGCATCTGCAGGCCCCGGGGCGAGGTGCGGAGCCACGACACGATAGCGATGGTCGCTATCGACCATTATGGGAATGTTGCGGCTGCGACGTCGACAAATGGCGCCACCAACAAGATTCCTGGCAGGTGGGCTGCTAGACTTGGTGCTGCTCACAGAGTGCCCTTGCTAATGTATCAATTCATTGTTTTCCTCGTCAAAACAACTTGTCGTCCGTTTGATCACAACTATGGTCTGCTGTATCTTGAAGTAAGTGACGAAAGTCAAGGCTGCAGCAGAGATCCAGGTGTTCCAAGTTTTGCAGCTGTATTCAGGCCACCACAAGTCATTGGAGAGCTACTTCTGTTCAGGCAGCCTCTTGCTTGACGCATCAAGGCTCCTGTTGGGACAGATCGATGCCAACAACGCAGTGCTGTTCAGCGTTGCACATTTGTAAGACCCGGGGCGATCTCTGTCTGTCTTACCCATCCTCCCATGTTCCTGTACTTGCAGATTCATCGAACAGGCAAATGCTGCTTCCTTTTATCTCGTTTCTGTTCCTTGAATTGAGCAATCTAGTCTTGCTCCCGTGCAGGGTGGGAGATGGCCCAATCGCCGGAGCGTCAGCCTATGCCGACAGCGACATCGGTGGTTGTGGGGCCACAGGGGATGGTGACGTCATGATGCGGTTCCTTCCCTGGTGAGACATGCATGCCTAAAAGCAGTCTCGGTTCATGTTCATGAAGCGGACCATGCTTTCTGCCTCAATAAGTACATCTGCTTGTCTTATCAGAGCTGCTTCTGCGTCGGCAGGACAGAGTTGGCCAAGCCCTTCCGTGTAGATTCCTAATGCATCAATGTGAGCCGGACGAAGTTCGTTCACGTTGTCCCATCGTCGGGTCTGCCCTCGGCATCCTTGCCAAACGAGCCGGAATCACCTTTGAAGAAAGTCGACTCGTGTTTGAAACTCCATCCTTAAGAGCAGCAGTGCTTGAACAGTCGGATAGAAGCATCAGAATGCGATCGCTCATTTATAATACCCCGCTTTTGCTGCCGTGCAGCTATCAAGTGGTGGAGAGCATGCGGCGTGGAATGAACCCAAAGGACGCGGTCGAGGACGCCATCTCGCGAATTCGGCGCTTCTACCCCACCTTCCTGGGCGCGCTCGTGGCGGTCAACCTGAACGGAGAGCACGCCGCAGCCACTAACGGGTGAGAGGATGGACTGTGACTGTGTTAGGCGAGAATTTGTTCGCTCTGGGAGGTCATATTCTCGTCAGCGTCAAGGTGATTGAACCAACGCGCTTACTGCGGGTCTCTTGTTGAGTAGTTGTCCTGGCGTCGCAAGTCGAATGCCGCCTGCTTTGGTTTATCTTAGCTTCTTGCCTCTGGGATGCCCGTTCATTGTCAATGTTGAGAGTTGAAGAGCCCATAGAGGTCCAAGAATAGCTGGCTAGAAAGAAAAAGCAAATGGTCGATGCTGGCACCTGGCGAGCTTTTGCTCATTGCGGGCAGAAATCTCATTCTTTCGGACCAATAACGGGTTCCTTGAGGCCAGCTCTGGAGTCTGAATCCTTCGCAGCAGGTTGTGGGCATTGTCCTGAAAGCTTCTTCCTTCCCTTTATCTCGCTGCTTAAATAGACTCCTGATACTGTGTGCGAGTGCAAGGAGTGCAGCTTTAGTCAAACTAATCTCCGTGTGCTGTTCGCTGCGCAGATGGTCCTTTGAGTACGCTGTCCGAACGCCCGGGACGGACGAGGTCGAGGTCTACAAAGTGGAGCCGTCCAAAACGGCCACGCAAGCCAAGATCGACATGGTGTAAAAACCGTCGCTCCTCCTCCGAACGCACTATCAAGCGCCTATATATATTTTGCTTCTTTTGGACGTGTTCCAAGAGGTTCCTTCCAACGTGCTTCGGCTACTGAATTATAAGATGAGGCGCTAAGATGCCCCCGGTAGAGGTGTCCCCCTTGTTGGAGTGGCAGCGCACACTCGGCAAGGAGAGAAGCCAGGCTATGACAGTCAGTCTGAGGGGGCCCTGTTGCTTTGTGTCACGATCGCAGCTCTTCCGGAACGCAATCGTTGTAGTTTACACTTGCTTTGGCACTTGAGGTCGCAAGGACCCCACTGTGCTAAGCGTAACTTGTGATCGAGTAATTTTAGTAGGTATTCAGAATGCTCAATGAAAGCTGATTGTTATCTCGAAAATCAGCCGGCGTCAGATGGTCACTGTAGGAATGTTGCTAAGAGTAGTGTAGAATGCTCGATAGTCGAGTCAGTAAGAAATGTCATAGCGGCAACCAAACGTTCGCCCAGCCTGCAGAGACGAATCTATATGCACTTCACTAAACTGCGGCAGGTCAACATTCTCAACTTGTACCCACGTGATGATATACGATGTGCTATAAAGAGCCGATCAAAGACATGCTTGTCGGGCCCGCTTTCATGTAATATAGTATCCATTGATGCAACTACGTTTATATCATCACGTACGCCTGATTTGCATGGTCTAGTTTGATACATGCATTAAATAGCTAGAAGGAGGTCAGTGCATGAAGTGACAATATGCCGTGTCGGGATCAACTTAATGATCGGGTTCGTGTTGCAACACATTTGATGGTCGGAAGCCTGCACGCGTACGCGGCCCTATAAAGTATTAGTATATGGGCCTGCATCCACATGCACAAATGACATGGCAACCTGGCGCAGCATGCATGCCATGATGCGTCATGAAGCAGATAAAGCCTTCATGCCATTGCCCTACCTACTGTGTGGAAAGTGACAGAATGCGTGGAAGGAGAACGTGCATGGACCAAATTCGCACTTTGGGGACCCTACCAAAGTGTAGTACCCTTTCCAGCGCGCGGTCCGGTTCGAGGTCCTGACTCCTAGAAACTGCACCGGCTGCATAGCCGGTGCGGTGTACCGAGGTACAGTCGCCAGCGGCCGTAGTGCGGCACCGGGTACGTCGACACACGGTCCGGTAGAGTCTCTGGAGCTAGGTATCCTTGATCCCCGGCCAATACTACTGTTCAGGGTACAAAACGGTGGGGGGTTTCAAAAGGTCCGAATTTGGTCCACGTTCTAGCCTTCCACGGGTTCTGACAGTCTGCGCCCAACCTACTTCTATGAGCACTCACATTAAGTGGTCGCGAGCTCGTGGTTTGGATTGACTTGGTACATGTCTTGACGTAAGAAACTTCGGAATCCGATCCACATGCATAATGCATTTTTCAACGTCGAAAAACTTTACTTTGCAAGAACTATCATGCGTTGTCCGTTTCAGTTGGACTAGCAAGCAACTGTCTTCTTTCCGCCTTTTTCTTTCTCCGCTCCGCGCATGTCTTGCACGGCCGTTTCACCCGCGCACTTCCATCCGGAATCTGCACCGCCACCTCGCTATCTGCCCTCGAATCGCAACCGCCAATCTTCTCCTCTCTGGAGTCGCTCTCAGGCCCTAAGGCCCCGATCAACTCGTCCATCTCTTGTTTCTCTTCACCAGGTTCGGTGCAGTACCCAACAATGATTTTGCTATCGGACGCTCTAGCATTATCATTTTCGTTGTCCTCAACATTCATAACGATTAGACTCGACTTGGAGAACCTGTCCTCTGCAACCGTGCCCTCCATGATGCCTTCAAGTTGAGCCTCAAACTGCAGTATCGCTCGCTGGAACTGGGTACCCTGCAGCATCGCACGACGAGCAGCATTTGAGAAGAGGAACTGCGAGAGCAGGTTTGTCGCCCAGCGTTCCAGATGCATTGCAATCCTAGGAGCAACGAACTGGCCGTTGCAAAGATCCGAAGCCGTCAAAAATGGAAGTGTTTGCGCTTCATCCTTCTTTTGCTCTCACCGACGCCACGTTCCGTTTCGCACTCAGGAATGCATCCAAATAATCTTGTTATTCGAACCAAAGATGAGACATCTGCGTAGTCATGGCAAGCTTTTGCACTGACTGAGCTCCAAAACCGTAAAACACTGGAACCCAGGGACCGGGTTTCAATGATCAGAGACCGGGCTTGGTATTTCATCGAACAGCTTGCGGCAACAGAAATCGTACGTAGTCGGGCCCTTCCAAGCAGCACGCAATCACACTTCCGAGGAGTCTTCTTTCTTTGTATTCCCCTTTCGCCGCATCCGATCTGCTCTCAAAAATGCTTCCCTCTCACCTCCCAATAGATGTGCCGGCACGCAGCGCACTGCCAGAACTCGGTGTGCGCGCGCAACGCGCACTCCGGAATAACCTGCGACCAGGGCGCCGTGGCGGCGGCCTCGCGGGGCCCCAACGGCGTTGTTACGAACTCGCCGTTGCACTTGATGCAGCGACAGAGAAGCCGACGCGCTCGCACGCCCAGCTTGAAGGCGCTCAGGACCTCTCTCAGCTGGGCCTGCTTGCCCAAAGCCTTCACCTGCAATCGCGGGAGGAAGGGGAGGGCTAAACTTTGTCGTGAGTGAATAAGGGTATGTGCCTCCCTGGAAATGAGTGTCCCTTCTTCCTGAGTGTCTTCCACAACATGGCGAGAGGTTTGAGGGACACAAAAACACTCTTGACGTGAGCAATCTTAGTAGAAGCCGTTGAGGCAACGGAGAATGGCGGCCTCTCGAAGATCGCCCACTTCTTGCCAGACACGCTTGTGAGCCGATTACCGAAGGCGGAAGGCTTGTACAACATACGTCGGGTCGTGCAATATGCGACAGACGACCCGACGTCTGTTTTAAAATACGCCCTGTGTGCAGCTTCTGACGCTAGCTGGAGCGCAGCTGGTTCCTTTCTCTCACCAGGTAAGCTTTGTTGGGGGGCAGCAGCCGTCTTCTAATCAGCCGCCGGTCGCGGGTCAGCAGAACGCGGCCCTCCCGCTCCGCTTGCTCCACCATCTGGCGGGGGTCCGACCGGGGACCCACAGCGGAGGCAGTGTCAAAGCCCACACACCTGAGCAGACGAGGGACGGGTTGACACTCAGGAACCGGGAGATGAGTGAACAGTCGCTCGGAAAGATGGACCTGCGGCGGATTTAGTGTCAACGCCCGGCACCTACGCGATTCGGAGTTCTTCTAACATGAGTACGGGTTCAAAAGGAATCAACGCTTGCGGATACTAGGAGGGTGTCGAAATGAGGGCGTTCCAAAGAGATTGAAGGCACACAAGTTGCCTTTCAGAAGGACCTCCGGCGTTCCGCTTTCCAGAGAAGTCGTCCCAGTTGATGAGAAAGGGGTGGTATTTGTTAGAGTCGCGGACTTTGCGTTGACGGGAAGGTACGAAACAAGGGATAACGCAAACGCCAGACACACCAAAGTCTGCAAGGACCCTTGCCGTTCCCACGAAAAGCCCGAAGAACAAGCCACAACCGCACTGTGCCACATACTCAACCTCGCCCCGCAACAATCGAAGAGGCCAAGGAACGGTGGCCCCTCACCGCAGCTGCCGGGCGAGCCCCTCCACGTGGACATCGCACAGAAACTTGGGCTCGCCGCTGCCCCCCGCCGCGGCGTCCTCCTCCCAGGGGGGCGGCCCTGACCACTCGCAGTCGTCCAACAATCCCTGACCGTCGATTGCCTCCAGAGGTCTCCTGGCCTTTGATCCGTGCCGTTTTCTGCAAAACAGCAAGTTGCCTCGGTTGTGAGCTGGATTTAAGGAGTCCAAATGCGGAGGTGTTGAATTCCAACTAAGAAGGGACCACTTCGTCCATGCCAGCCTCCAACCTAGAAGCCCTTGATCAAAACTGGGGCATCAGGTCTGAGGAGGTCGAATACTTTTCGGAAGGTGCGGGCTACTCGTAACACCCTAGTACGTCCAGTAGTAACCCCGAAATGGTCACGACGAAACGAGTACATGAAAATGCGTCCAGGAACAGGTTGTTGCTTACCACTGCGAAAAAGACAAATCAAATGAGCCCGGACTTCATATTGCTGACAAAGCGTTTTGCCCACTGCTTCTGTCAAAAACGACCTCAAGTACCTAAGTGAAGCTTACAAGCGAGGGGACATCAACCCTCACAAACGTACTTCGGCTTCTTGCTTCCCACGTCGTGGTTGATGCTGTTCAGGCTCAACCGCTCTGCAAAGCGCCCCATCGCTAGCGCCACATCTTCCTCCGTTCCATCGAGCCCCGCAGCGCTCAGGCTTGCCGCGGTGGCGACCTCCGCAGGGGAGATGCTGCGAGAGCTGAGGAGACACGTGGCAGGTAGGCAGGACGACGTGTGGCTGACGTCAGCGGTCGAGGGGGGGTTTAAGTCTAGAGCAGCTGCGATGCTCAAAGCGGGGGAAGGCTTCTGTGGGCCGACAAGTTGGACGAGGGGCCCTGTTGTAGGAATGACGTGTTCGTTTGAGATCTTACCACAAGCATTTCACGATCAGCCGATGACCTAAACGCGTTTGGCCGCAGATACACTAGCATGTTGAGTGCATAGAAGGGGACTCAGTAACCAGTATCCGGAAGTCTGGCCAACAGCTGAGACACCCCTGACATTGATAGGACGCTAAGTTCGAAGCGCATGCCTGGGGCATGAACGGAGTTAATCTGAGGGCGCGAAAGATCCTCAGCCAAACTGTTGTTCGAAGTGATCCCTCGCCATCAAGCCAGAGATTCCACATCCTTGATCTTTATCTTTGCGAGGGGCTGGATCTCCTGGACATGGCAGTCTCACCTGGCTGAGCATCCCTTGAGGACTCGTGCAAGAGGGCGTCGTAGATGGGCAACAAACAGTAGGCATCAGTCGCTGCATACAGAAGCTGTGCCTGAGACAGGGGGCGGGCCTCCCAGTCACTGCACTGGAGCTCCTGCACAGGGATATCGACTCTTTTTGAGTTTGAGGGATTTGGGGCCTCGTCATCGTGTGTGCAGATTACAGCAACATTGTACTTCAACAGCTTGTGAAGAAGGGGGCTATATGCGCTCTGTGGTTCTGGCAGCTTTGAGTAGGCAATTAGCTTTTCCTCTTGAAGGGAGCTGACGTTCGGCTGTTTGATCAGACAAGATGGTGGAGGATCACTCTGATTTGAACAGGTGAAAGGAAGAGAGGCAGACGTTGTAAGGCTAGGCCCTGGAGTCCTTGAAAGAACAAAGTGTCCACAGTAGATGAATCAATCCTCTGGTAGCAAGACCTCCGCTGTACCTTGTCCAGTGGAAGCCCCAGCACGGTGTTTGTAATCGCTGCCAATCCCCCCGTCCCCACTATCCAAGAGTCTGAGCCCCCTTTGACGGTGTGGAAGAGCTTCCCCACATCAACAAAGTTTTCCACTTTGTCAAAACAACCCTTTGCGTCCTGGCCTGGATGGGAAGCCGCCAGGTGACGGAGATCGTCCTTGAAAGCGTAGCCAAGCTTGAGGATGTGGGGGCTGCTCAGCATCGCTTTCAGGGGCGCAGCGAACACTGACGGCTTGAGCGCCAGCATGTCCTACAAGAAAGGAGTGATTTGCAATGTTGAGAGAGTGACTGTTGTTGACAAAGAGTAATTGTGAGGTTAGTTGGGGTCAAGGAGTCAAGACGGTGTCGCAGAATCTTAGATTGAACAAGTGGGGCTTGCAGAAGCTCAAAGATGCAGGAGAGCACCAAGAACACCCCTGTTACAGAATGAGACAAAACTTGGTATGAGAAGACAAAGGCCTGGGCAAAAGATAGGACCTATCTTTTGAGAGCTCTGTCGGGACATTGATCATAACTCTTTTGAGAGGAGAGACAGCATCAGCGCTCACCACCACAAACAACACCTCCCGCTTCGCATTTTTCAGCACCGCTCTCTTCCGGACTGCAATCTGCAGGACTGCAACCTTTGGGGAACCCCTCGATGCCGCCCGACCTGTCTTGCTCGCCACAGGCTTCCATTCGCAGTCTAGTCCCACGATTGCTGCAGATTTTAGAGCAAGCGCCACCGCTTCGAATGCTGCTGGGGTGTCCACAAAGCAGACATCGGACGTTGGCAGCGGCAGACTCCAGTAGCTTGAGGAACAGACCTCGTCGGATGACGAAACGTCAGTAGCGCCCATGGGGGCTGTGGAAGGAATTGCAGCAAGTGCGATGGAGAACTTGAAGGGCAACGCACGGGCAATATGCTCCAAGAATAAAATTAACTGTACCTTCAAGCGCATTTTTCGGAAGAATAATGATACAGGCCCACTTGAATATCGGAAAAGGTACCCAGCTGACATCAATAAAAGTCTCCTGTCGCAGTTCAAGAACTCAGCCTTTCTGAAATTCAAGAAATTAGGGTTTCTGTTTGCCTGCATGTGTTCTAATCTTGTGCCTTGAATGAACCAAATTTGAACTTGTGCAGAGGCTGCTCAAACTTTGGTACGTTCAGAGAATCTTCTGAGCGCCTGCTTCAAACAGAATCAGGGGGTCGCAGCTAAGGATTCCTCGTTGAAAGGTTTGCCAGAGAGGTAGCAGTAGTGCCCTGTTCGAGGGAGTCATGGCGGCCACAGCTCGTGCGGCAGCGGCCGCTTCCTCGCTGGCAGCCAGCAGCGTTGGAGCCGACTGTACCGGTTGCAGACAACAGCGGACGCTGCCGACTTTCACAGGGTTCAGGGTTAGCAAACACAAGGCGCAAGCATCCCCCCAAAAACTGCAGAGGCCGTCTGTGAAGGTGCGGGCTGCCATGGATGACAAAAAGGCTGGCTCGAAGAGGGATATAAAGGCAGAGGCAAGCGCGGTGGAGTTGTCATCGGCGGTGGCGGCAGATGTGAAGAATGGAGCCAGGTCTGAGGAGAGCATAAAGGATGTTGCCCGCAACAAAGGTAAGCATACACCATTACCAGCAAGGCCGTAACAATTTCTAGGTCTGAGTGCAGTGGGAGCTTTGATTTGCGCAACAAACCCGCCCGTTGACATTCGGGATTTTGAGATCTCAAGTTTGCCCTTTCGTTTGTTTCTATGTGCTTTTTAAAGTTACAGTGCATAATGCTAAGGCCCTTTGCTTGCATGTTTATCAGACATGTTGTTTACAAGAATGTGTAAGATTCTGTGCAAAAGTGCACCAATTTGCTGCAAGGTACCTTCTCAAGGTCTACTTTGATTGATTTATGGCTGTCCTGCTTTGATGACACGATGACAGGGGGTTTCGCGCAGACAGTGCCGTCCAGACTTGATTGGCTTAGGTGTCATGAATAATTCTTAGTGGGACCAAGTGTCGTACAGACCTGATTGGCCTACTGTGGTTAGGATGGCCCAGATTGTGTCTCAGGTGGTCTCATTCCCCTTGCTGCAGCGGCCCATGATGTGAAGGAAGTGTTCCGGGCCAAGTATGTGCCGTTCACCCCGGGCGTTGCGACAACCGAGGAGTACTCACTGGACGAGGTTCTCTACCGGAGCAAAAATGGTGGGCGTTCTTCAGAGGATCGACGTAACGCATCTATTGACACAATCGCATTTAGTCAAAAAGTTTAGTGCTACAGCATGGGTTTCTAGATGCTGAAGTAGTCTTCTGCTGCAATGTTACATCCGCTGTCCTGGAGCAGTGGTGTCACTTTTAGGGTTGGACTTGCCCCAACTGATAGGCCCCCCACTTAACGGAAGCCCTCAAAACTGGGTTTTGTGGTCTCCTTACTTTTTTTTTCCTGCACTGCAACTTATAAGCACTAATTGTTGCAGGTTCGTTGCTGGATGTCCAACACGACATGGAGGCGCTGAAGAAGTACGACGGGCAGTACTGGAAGAACCTTTTCGACTCAAGGATAGGCAGGACTGAGTGGCCGTATGGCTCTGGAGTATGGAGCAAAAAGGAATGGATTCTGCCCGTAAGTACTATCCAGTTACAGCTTCTTCTTGAGTTGCTGAGGTCCTTGTCGGTCAGTTAAGGCCCCCTTGTATGGCCGTGTTGAAGGAACAGACAAATACACATGGGAGAACTTCTGTGTTGCCCAATGCTGCAAGACACTGAATATAAGGACAAGGTAGTAAGTGGATGGAACTAGAGTTTGTTGGCTTTGACGACATGCAAGGTTTTGGCAAGGACCTGCTGTGAACTCGCCCACTTTTGCTCTGCCAGGAGATTGACAACGACGATATCGTGAGCATGTTTGAGGGCAACTCCAACTTGTTCTGGGCTGAGCGCTTTGGGAAGGAGACACTGGGTATGAGCGATCTGTGGGTGAAGCAGTGCGGCAACAGCCACACAGGCTCCTTCAAGGTGAGACCCTCACACCTTTCTAAGGTGGAATAAGCAGCGTATAAGCCAAACTGTCAGTGTAAGCTCGTGCAATTCCAGGGCGCGTCAAGCAGGTTCTCAATGGCAGGCACGTTTAATCATGGAAAACGAGAGGCTTGAGAGGAATTGTAGTTGTTTCTCGCTGCTCCAATGTTCCTAGTGTCAGGTTTGACAGTCTGGTTGGGAGGATCATTTAAGGCAACACTTCAGAGCTTCAGTAGCCACTTGTATTCGGGGTTCTATCAAATTGACGTCAGGGTTGCATGCACTAGTGCTCTGTAAGTTACTTATAAGAGTTTCTACCTGCTTACAAGGACATGTGCTGTTCTGAGTGAGGATGTCTGCCTTCTGTTGCCCTCTAGAACGAGTGGGATTGCTCAGACTGTGCATGCATCCTTGATGCAGGATCTTGGCATGACAGTCTTGGTCAGTCAAGTGAACCGGATGATCAAGAAAGGCCGGGCCGTGCGAGCGGTTGGGTGCGCGTCCACAGGAGACACGTCAGCAGCGCTGTCGGCCTACTGTGCAGCAGCGGGCATCCCCGCTATTGTGTTTCTGCCTGCCGACAAGTGATGCTCCTACCCCTAACACCGTTGTATTAGAATTTTCTTTCTCGAGATGATTCGAGATAATGAGGGCTTCTGAGGCACCAAGAAGAGTCAAGCTTCAAGAGAGGTTGGGTCCTTTTGGCACAGCTCATAGCCCGAACGAATCGAGTTGAATTTTGGTTCATATGGGTCGTGCATTGTGAGAGCCTGGGTGTAGAGGCTGGACATAGCCAAACCTCACCCGATTCAAGGTTGCGTTTGAGAAGAGTCTTTCAGTCTCAATAAGTACGCTGCCGTTTTCAATGGGCTCGGCCGTGTTGCTGTGGTTCCTCATGTTGAGTGTCCTCACTCGCCTGTAACATACGCACTTGAAGGAACTTTTTAAGCGAAAGTACTTAAGTCTAAACACACCACTGCCTCTGCTGTGGTGTTATCAGTTTCTCAACCTGTCGGTCCCCTTTCTCCCCTGGCAGGATCTCCATTGCGCAGCTGGTACAGCCGATCGCCAACGGCGCGCTTGTGCTGTCCATCGACACCGACTTCGACGGCTGCATGCGGCTGATCCGCGAAGTCACAGCAGAGCTCCCCATCTATCTCGCCAACAGCCTCAACAGCCTGCGCCTCGAGGGCCAAAAGACGGCGGCGATCGAGATCTGCCAGCAGTTCAACTGGGTCGTCCCTGATTGGGTGATCGTCCCGGGAGGCAACCTGGGCAACATCTACGCATTCTACAAGGGCTTCCAAATGTGCAAGGACCTCGGGGTCATTGACCGCATGCCACGCCTGGTGAGCTGGGAACGTTTTTCTCGATTAAGGGCCATGGTGACCAACAGAAGGTCTCCTTGGATGGGTATAGCTGGTTTGTGGGATTTTGGCGGGGTCCGGTTTGGAGGATGTCGTTTCAGGGTGTAGGGTTGTACTTCGGTTCTTTTTCCGAGAATCACCAATCCGAACATGCTTGTGAGCGAACCTGGTATTGAAAGGTAAAAACAGGAGGCCGGCTTGATCTGCCGCAGGGGGTCGCGGACGCTCTGTATGTGCACTAGCCGAAGCTCTGTCCCCATAGTAGCTGATCCCTGGACGGCGTGCTAAACTTGCATTCTGAGATGTCGATCCGAAAGTTGGCGCACCGTGATACGAGGATCGAGGACGTGCGTGGGAGATGGCGGTTGCGGGCTTTTAACGTTGTCGAATGGGCGAGGACGTTCTCAGCGATTTCGTACGCAGTTCTAGCCAAATGCTTGGAAAGTGCTCGCCATGGTGCCTACGCCCGGTATCACGGAGTCTCGCTCCGAGCCATCCCCTTATTGCTGCAGCTCCTTTTCTTGTTGTCCAGGCCGGTCTGTCATGCCGCTGAGATCATTCTCCCCTCACACAATAGGTCAAGTATACAAGGGGTTTGTCTTTTTGACACCTTCAGGCCCCGTTTTCCGACTCCCTGCATTCCCTCCCCAGGTCTGCGCCCAGGCCGCCAACGCCAACCCCCTGTACAGGGCCTACAAGGCCGGCTGGGACAAGTTTGCGCCGATCAAGGCCGCGCCCACGTTTGCATCCGCCATCCAGATCGGAGACCCCGTCTCCATCGACCGTGCGATATACGCGCTCACGAACTCGGACGGAATCGTTGAGGAGGCAACTGAGGAGGAGCTGATGGACGCGGCGGCGCAGGCGGACCGGACGGGCATGTTCAACTGTCCGCACACGGGTGTCGCGTTGGCGGCGCTTATAAAGCTGCGGAACAAGGGCGTGATCGGGCCGAATGACAGGACGGTGGTTGTGAGCACGGCGCATGGGCTCAAGTTTACGCAATCCAAGGTGAGGGGTGCTTGTTCGACTGATGCGAAGCTCAAGGTTGAAGCAGTGCAGATTCTGACGTTGAGGCGCTTGGGCTACATGCGTCTATAACGACGCCACTCTTGAGTAAGATCGACATGAGTAGCTGATTGCGTAATTTACAGGACCTTCAAGACTAGAGTCGGCCTTGTGACCAATCTACTGCCCGTGCGTGAAAGACAGGCCGGATTCAAGTGGCAGAAATACTCCATGAATTGATTATGAACTGCAAGAAATGATTTTTTTTTAATTGTTTCTGCGCAAATCTTAATACACGCTGTCTCGTTGCGATGTTGATTTTGCAAAAGGGTGCTGCTGACACCTTGTTCCTGCCCATACCCTGCAGGTCGCTTATCACTCCAACGAAATTGCTGACGTCACGAGTAGGTTTGCCAACCCGCCCGTGACAGTCCCTGAGAACTTTGGGAAGGTGATGGACGTGCTTCGTAGAGAATTAGACAAGAGGGGCGACAAAATCAAGTAGGCTTGTAAAGTTGCTTGGTCTGGTTGCCTGGCCAAGATAGAGTTTTGATACCTCTCAGTGTTTGTAGAGGTGCAACGCGATTGCGAAATTGACTTCGATTCTTCCGCTCGGTTAAAGATAGTAGGCATGTGCCCATGTGCGTTTTCGCATCCTCTTGCAGAGATCATTCAAGTTGGATACCGTCAATCAGAATGCACTTAATATTCTGTGCCGCTCCTACTTAGCCAGCAGCTGCAAGCAGGGCTAATGGGCAGAACAGCGCATGTGGGACGTGGGGTACATATGACTAGCCGTAACGGCCATGCCGCTCAATCTTTGCGCTGGTCGTCATGATGAGGGCAGCGACCCGTCGTGGAGCAACAGGGTTTGCATGCGCTCATGTACGCGCGCATGTATGCAGGAGCAATACGATGATTTGCTGCAGGTGACTCAATGATCTGCATGACGCTTCTGTATACGTATAGGCTCAGTGAATGCGATTGCTTTTCAAATGATTGGATTCTAATGAACAGTGCACTGCGTGCATGCGCAGGTACATAGCCACCTATAGCTCAGTAGCCTTGAGTCAAACGTAGTGCGGCCGTGCGGCTGTCAGTGTAGACTGATGGGAGATGACAGACGGCCATGCGTTAGTATGGTACATTCAACATGTGTGTGTTGGCGTGTGGCGCGGCCCGCACATGTGCCATATTCTACGTACATGATTTTAAATTCTATGCCTTACTAGCCACGTGATGCATGAAAGAATTGCTACCTATATCGTGTTTGCATGGTGTGCCGCGGTGCCACTTTTGATAATTAAGTGAATAATTGTACCTTATTCGATCGTGACTATGCTCAAGCTCAGTGATTGATTTGCATTGAAGCCGCCGCGCTTGATTGCAAACTTTGACTGGAATGATTCATGCTCCTTGGAGATTGCCTGTCCATGATCGCATGCAGGCAACTGAGAGACGGCTGATCGTCACCGCCTAATGAAAATATCGTCCGACCAATCAAGCTGCCTCAATGGTTAGAGTGCAAAGTTGCATGATGCCTCAAAGTCGATGCCAATTGCTTTCACACATTGAACTTGCACAGTAGCCTGTTACCTGGTTTCCATTCGTTTAGAGAACCTTATTGCTTTCGGGTGGCAGCAAGCTTTTCATCATCTTAGAGCTCAGCGAGAGGTATTCGGTCTCACACTATCTTACTATACACCATGCTCTATAAAATACCCTTCCGTTCGAATCCATGCACCTACTCTTGCGCTCCCCACCTGCGTTTCCCTCATGCACAAGCCACGTGGAGCAGCAGAGTGGGGCGTGTGTCATTGCAGGCCGAAGCCCTCGGCGTTCTTGATGGCGAGGTGAAGCCGGTCGGCCAACTTCTCCTTGGTGGCGTACTCGGGCAGCAGCAGCACGTTGAAGCACGTGTGCGCGGTGGGCAGCCTGCGCAACACACAAACCTGGTCAAGGAAAATGTTGATTACAAACTAGGTTGAGAATCGCCTGCAACTCGATGTCGTCGAAGTTCTACATGCGTCCACGACCACGATCAGGTAAGGAGGTGGATGCGAAGGCGGGATAATCAGCATTGGTTTGACATTGTTCAATACGGCAACCCTTACATTTGCCGAATGTCACCACCGAAATTCGGAATTGATTCAGAGACAAGGGAAGTCGCACTCACCGCTCCTAGCACCTGCCAAGAAGGTCACCCCAGCACCCCAGAAGTTCAACGGCAAAATTTAACCTCAACTAGGCAGGCAACGCGCCTCAGATTGAACCTTCCATCATTGCAACCGGACGGACCAATCGGCACACACATTTTGAAGATCCTTCAGCAACAAGAACCTGCTGCGCTGACCTGTCCGTGTCGGGTCCCATCCGCTGAACGACAAAGCGGAGCTCTGAGAGTCCGCCGATGGGCGCTCGGCTGGACCCCGTGGTGAAGAAGAGCAGCTTCTTCTTCTCGTCCAGCGACATGGCCTTCACCTGATATTGGGAGAGGGGCGAGAAAGGTTCATGGAAAGGAAGATCCGGATTGTTGCAGGGTACAGATTCCAAGACCATCGGGCCGGGGTGCATAAACGTGCTGGTAACCAAGCATCGATCCGCTTGCTTTTCGCTAAGGGCTTCGCTTCCATTGACCAATTGTTGGTGGACACATGTCCTGCCCACGTGCTGCCAAGACATACGCAAGGGGGATCATCAACCCCATCCTTCGTTACGGGCTTTCTGTTGTGCCTTTTGTAGGTGTTAGCCAGTTTGGTACCTCTCAACTTTACTGGCTAATTGACTCAATTCTTGTATGCTACTGTTGAGCGTGAGTCAAAGGGTTCTCAATGTGCTCCCAAGCACGTCCAGATTGGATCGTGGGGCTGACACTGGATGCTGAGACCAGTTATTGCGCGTCGATCTGCCAGTTGTTTCGTTCTTGAAGAGTGTGCCCAGTTGGCGCTCAAGGCTTTGCGGATTGAGGCCGACGTGGCCGCTTACCAGCTCCCAGAACCATTTGATGACGGGGCTGTCCTTGGTGAAGCCCGCCTCGTAGCGCGCCTCCTTGGACAGAGCCTGCCGGGAACCAAACAAGGTCAGTCAATCAATGCAACTTTGAAGCCTGAGGTATCAGCAAGTTTTAAGAAGACAGACAATCGTGACAAGAACCACTGCAAAGGTCGTTCAGGATTACGGAGGGAGGGTGCTCGCCTCGCCGCAATGCCTTTTTCACATACCAACGCAACGTCAAAGATCGTTTCTGGGGTAAGTAACTCAAAGCATATCAAAATCGGAGTCTGCCAAAGTGCGAAGCTGGGATCATCAACGACAATTGCCCGCCCCCTGCCAAGGCTAGGAAGCGGAGCTCACGTCGAAGTCGAAGTGCGGCAGTCCGCAGACGAGTAGCTCCAGCTCCTCGTGGCGGAACAGACTCAGGGCGGGGCCGCCACATACCTGGAAGAGACGATCGGAGGTTAGCTTAATGGCGACCAGAACGTCGATCACCCAGCTTTCGGTCGCCACTTTTGGAGGCGAACGAGCAGGCGCATAGTAAGCAGAGCGTAGCAGGTACAGATCAGGTTGTGAGCGTTGCCACGCAACTCCGGTCGAAGAGACATACGCAAATGATGACGTAAGATGTTGCACACGAAGGGTAACGCTTTGGCAGAGGAGTTCCTTGGAGTAGGAACGCATCTCTGCTGAAGGAACGGGCCAGCGATTTGCAAAGGCAACGGCAAGTGAGGGGTAGGCGTCACGTGCCTGGAGGAACCCTCTGCGGAAGGCGTCGAACTGCGTCTGGATCGACTCCTCGAGCACGTACTTGACGTAAAGCTCCACGTATCTGGAAGAACGACAAAGAAATATTCAGAATGAGAAGAGGCTCAGGAAAAATCCAGCAGTCGTGTTGCGGGGCCTCGTGCGAGCTGCAAATGAATGACTCCTATGATAGAGGTCTGGAAACAATTGTTGCGTTCATGGAGACCTGGTTCATAGAGCGCCACAAGCAGATCCATAGCAGGTGGGGACGGCAGGATCGACGAAGGCGTTGCTCAGCTCGACGGATGGCAAGGCGGAAATAAGAGTTTGACTAATTAGGGGCGTTCTGCACGTGAGGGGTTGTTGGAGCCCAGGGATCGCTTACTGTTGCCTGTTTGCGTTGGTGACGGGGGTCTGGCCGCCGTTGGTTATCAGGTCATGGATTACCTCGGCACCAAAGTTCTCGTACGACACCTGTCGATCAAAGAAGAGCGCTCCGTTAAAGACATCGACACGGCTACACCTGCATATTTGCCACCCGCGATCAACCACTCTGGAGGCAAGATGTTACGTGCGGTTTGGAAGGACGTAATCCGCTTCGACGAAACCGCTCAGCGCCAGATTTTCTTATCCTTGCATTTACTGTGGCCCAGCCGCCTACAATTCACTCCATGGGCTGCTTCACGCCCAAGTTCACGTCTTCGCATTTTCAACAGGCTCTGGAGCTTTTGCAGCATATTCCCCTGGATCCAGCTTCACCAGAACTCCAAAGCCAAATTCCTTCGGCCTTGAGTCGACCCCTCAGTTGCCGGAACCACAAAGACCTGAATCACAAATCTAAAAATCCCTCACCTGGAAATCAAGCCCGAAAGCGCTCTCGACATCCCCCTCGAAGTCGAGCAGCTTCTGCAGGCTGCGCCCCACGGCGGGCCGCGCGTCCTTCAAATCCTCTAGCGTCGGCTTCCCGCCCAGCAGCTTTTTGTAGACCACTAGCGGCAGGTGCACGTCGAGGATCACACTGTTGTAGATGGCAAGCCCCAGAATGATGCCCACTAAGTGAAACTCGGATTCGGACTCCATGGACGTTTGCGAGAACCAGAACTCGCGGCTCTCGTCGTCGTAGGTGAACATGCCGAAGCGCACGTCGAACAGCTCGCGCACCTGGGAAAAGGAGACGTCTTCTTTCCTCCGCTTGCTCTTCTTGTCAAGGCCATTTTAGAAAGAGGATCAAAGGCTGCGAAACTTGAACACGAGGAGGGTCGGAATACAATCAGAAAGTTTCGGCGGAAAACAGCTCTGGGCGGCTTGTCTGCTGGGCAGCTGTTGAAAGAGGACTCTACTCGGTGCTAGCTTAAACCATGTTTTAAAAGGACAACGTCTTCCTGAACCTGCAATCGGTGCCTCTCCTCCATAAGGACCGAAGAAAGCTAGAACAGAACACGCCGGACAACACAACGTACTCAAGCAAACCTCAGGTCACTGGGGGCAGAAGGGCAGCTACGGCATAGATATCATTAAGATTCTCATCCAGAAAGTAACTACACCGACTTTCCAGCAGATGTCGGGGTTGGGAGCACAAATAGAGCTTGCACTCACGACGAGCTGGAAGAACTCCTTGGTGACCCCCCCTTCATCAATGGCCTCCTCGCCAACAAACACCACCTTGAGCGGCTTCTTCAGGTCGAACGTGTGGTGGCCCAGCTGCGCCAGCGCGTCCGGCACAATGTGGCTCCGCCGCACCTGCGGGAACGGGAACGAAGACTCCAACGGTTGAACACCTCTAAAACTTTCCGCCAGGCCAGGGCATCTCCCGAGACTTGGGGGAAACGGGCTTTACTTGTGAGTGGCGTTCGAAAGACCTGGCTCGAGGCGCTTCAGCGGGCGGTGCCAGAACAATAAGCACCTCGACATTTATTTATCCAGAATCATCACCTCGCACGTATACCAGAGGCGTCACACCAACTGCTGCATGCCAGACTGAACCCCGCATTCATGCACGCTCTTCGAATCGGACAGATAATCTTCAAAGATAACTTGCCCGCTTTCTAGGAACGAAGGTAACGCTCAGACTGTCTGTTACCTGGAGGATGAGGAAAGGCGCGCTGTTGCCCCCGAAGATCTGGCCCAGCTGCCAATTGTGCAGCTCCCGTGTCTTCTGCAGATTGGCCTCCCCCTGCAGCACTTCGCTCTTGGCTTCGGGGGTCAGCAGCCACGGCACCTGCTCGGCACAAATAGCTGACGTCAGTCTCCAGAGAAAGATCTCGAAGCAGTCTCGAAAGCTGTAAAAGGTGCTCAGCTGTATAAGACTTTCATTTAGGTCTAGATAAGCTTTAGGTTTAGTAAGCTAACCAGCCTGGGACGGGTGGGGTTAGGCTGGGGGTTTAGCGTGGGTACGGGTGCGGTGCGAGTGATTCTGAGGGTTGGATTTTGAGTGTTAGACTAGGTGCTTACTATACTATACCTAGAGCTTCCTATCCCTGATTGAAGAGACATCTCGGCTGTGCCAGAGGAGGGGCCAGGTCGGGCAACACGGTGGAGCCCCTGAGGAACTTGGTCAAGGTGCAAGTAGATCGGGCGGTGGGCACCCGGGCTGTTCTGAAATAGTTTAAAAGTTTGTCGACGCCTGTAGAATGATCATTTCGATTCTCGATGCGGTGAGAAGCCATCCTTCGACTCTGACCAGACACCTAGAAAGGTTTAACAAACCCGTCCTTCAAGGTTAGCCACCAAACGAGCACTTTGTCGAAAACCGAGTCAATCTAGGGATAGTAACAGGAGGAACGGAGGCACGTGCCTGGCAGTAAGAGACGAGCCGCTTGGTCCTCGAGACGGGCGCCCCCTCGACCTGGCGCCACCGACGGTACTCCTCGCGCAGCGCGGCTTTCTGGCTGACCGTTATGCTGTGGAAGTCTGCATACGGCAGGATCTCAGGCCGCCCCCCTAGCGTGTTCGCTTTGTACAGAAGCCGAAGGACCATTACTGCGGCTGCTATGTCGTCGGCGGGGGGCTCGCTGGCGGCAATCATGTTTTGCCTGCGGGTGAGGAGAAAGAGGGATTGGTAAATGGAAAAGGGACGGCAAGTGGAAAGAGTCTCGGGAATGAGGCAAAAATGTCCAAGTTTTGATCGCAACCATTAAGGCCGCCTGGAAAAGTTTTGGCTTAATCTAGGGTCCCCAAGGGACAACGCTAGACACAGAATCATCGACCAATTCAATCAAGCTGAGCATCGATTTGAGACGTAGATTGCTAAGAGAATTACACGACTCAAAGGACGCAGACTACACAGATTTCTTACAGATTCCTATGCAGACGACGAAAGGATGCTTCAACCAGCCCACGTTGGTAAAGCCCAGCCGCGCATCTCACTTTGTATCTATGTAGTTCTTTGCGCTCCGCACAAAGCGTCCGGCGAAGATGTCCTTTGGATACGTCCGGAACCAACGGACGTACGCGAAATGCACCTCGTGAGGAAGCTGGGCGATAAGACCGAAGAGGCGGGAGGAGAGGTCCCCGAGACTGCGCAGCACAGCGCACGGAGAAGTCAAAGACTGTCTATCAGCGCCGCATGCATCAGAGCGCTTCCTTAGATCTTTGAGAGAATAATTCAAGGTCCTACACCCCCGTTCGTAGACGATGCACTCGGGAAGTTCGCGCTTTACGAGTTGCAAGGATGACGCGTACATTAATGTCCGGCTTTCTTGTGACGGAGGCTGCTTTCGAGCACTTTAATCGGTCTTTCTACTAGCATATTGAAAGAACCCGATGCAACATACAAGCGTGGCAACTGAGATAGAGCATGAGACGCGCAGATGTGTGGGCTTGAAACTTCCATGTTCGACTCACCCTTTCATCCCTAGAAGCGGGCTTTGCATGAGAATCAGCGGTATCTGCAAGAAGGAACGGCCGCACTTTGACAAGACTGAGCAGCGCAAAAACGTTGAAGGCAGCTCATGATGGCAGGAGCTCGCTTTTGGCTGCACACGTTGGGAATCCTCTGGTTTCAACGACTCCCAGTATAATAGTCGGCTAAGATACGACAAGCGGCAGGTCAAGGACGGCCGATCATGCGTCCGCCTGGTTTCATCTGCCGTCCTGTGCCACTGCTTTACACCGCAGAAGTTCCTCCAGAATCGACCGGCCAGTGCCAAACCATTCCGCAAAAAGAGCTGCAGCTCTTGAACAAGTTTCTTCTGTTTCCCAGAACAGCATCCACGGCATGCAGCACGAAGACAATCCGGAAGTATGGAGATTCTCCACCAACCCCGGCTCACCTTGGCCCATCGTTCGGAGGGGACTGTGGCCGCGTGCGCCGCCAATCCGTCGAGAAGCCGCACCGTGCTGTTGCCCAGTCTTTGTATCATCTGCAAACCACCCACAGCAGCTGACGTTACGCTCGCGTCAAAAGAGGCTACAGAGATGCTCGAAGTCGAGATACGAGAGCAACACTCTGCCCCCTTCATTCCCTGAATCAAATGGCTGAAACTTACTGAAGACTTGATGGACCCCTCAACTTCCCGGAAGGAGATGTGCCCTTTGCAGCTTCTCGGGAAGAGCGGGGAAGCGGCTCTGTCGACCGTCCCTCTTGAGGACAAGTTGAAGCGACTCAATTTAGACTGTACTTCGACACTGAAAAAAGTACTAGACGCTTTTTGACGTGCTGAAGACACTGGGGAAGAAGAAACGCGTTCGCGCGTGGCCCTCACCTCTGTATCGTACAGTTTGAGTATCCTGTCGTACACCCGTTTAATCGCCTCCACGTCAACCGGCGGTGTTTCGCTGTCCCTCCCCGACGTGCTGGCTTCGGGCTGGGGGGGCCCATGCTCCCGGAAGCCAAACTCAAGGAACCCCCCCGAAGAGAAAAAGTCTTCGATCGCGTTGCCTAGGATGGACATTTCGCGACCGGGTTTGATGTCAGCCTGCGTAGAGGAACCAGAAAACGGGTGTAACTCCTCCGTGCTTGACTTTTTGCACCCTCGGGGAAGAGTGGGTGACTAACATCGCATGAACTTGGTAAAAGGAAGAGATATGCGCTCCGTATAGGGTACAGGTAGGTATCAGGAGCGTTGACGAAATGGTCGACTAACGGCCCGACTGCTTGACTGCAGCGCGTGCAACGGTGTATCCACTGGCAAAGGATCCGATGCGTCACCAAACAGGTAAGCCGCGGTTTGAGCCGATTCGGCACTTGAACATGCTTCTCGAGCTTCTACCACTGTACCGACAGAACGGCTTTCAGGTGAAGAAATATGAACAATTGAACGCCTTTGCGAAAAGGATCCAAAGACATCCCGGAAGTCATTCTGGTTCAAGCTGGACTGGTCACGCACTGACAGCGACAGATCAACCGCTTGTGAAACAACTTCCGAGCACGAAGAAACGGCGACAGCAGACCGGGCTCGGTCATCCTTCTTACAGACATTTGCTCGTTCCAGAGAAGTGTGTAACAACCACAAAGTGCCCGCCAAACCAGCGTCTCACCCAGGCATACACTAGCAAAAGTGAAGCGAAGTGTCTTTCCAAAACCCAACATCTTCCATCGCCAAAAACTGAACTTCAGGTCTTCAAACCCAAAACCCGGATTTCGACGGCACCGATAGTCTCACCTCCAGCATCTGCAGCAGGGGCGGCATCGTGATTGGTCGCAGCCCCGCCCCGTGGTGCTCTAACGGCCGCGGCTGCTCGAACGGCGCCACCGCAAATCGGTCGTCAGAGGAAGAGCTCCTTGCCGCTGCGGGTTCGGAAGACGGTTCCGAAGGAGGAGCAGATTCCGCTGGCCGAGTGGATTCCGTCGAAGGGGTGGGTTCTGGCTGAGCGTCAGTCGTCGGGTGTTCACTGGTGTCCATTGGTTCGGCACCGTCGTGTGGTCTGAAGAGGAACGACGTACGTTAAACCCCGTGAAAGGCTACACAAGATGGTTGTCCTCGCCCACAGGAGCAGAGCCCTTTCGCAAGTCACCCGAGCCCCGGACAATGCTTAGTATCAATCAAAATGCTCCTTAACAGAGACCGCAAACTCCGTTGTTCCGATCCTCGAAGGTCAGTCGATGGCAATGACAAACAAACGGATGAGATGTTTCCTCTTAGAACCAGCTCATCTACGTATCAAAAAGACAGAAAGAAAAATTTGGCGCGAGTCTACTGACTGGCTCCAAACCTCGTCACAGGGTACCAAAGCGCGTCCAAGTATCTTACCTCTCTGACCGCTCTGCTACCTCTTCTAGGACCACTTCCAAGTCAACGGTCTTGTCGGGTTGTTGTGATTGGCTGAACACGGCGATGTTGTGGTCCCCACCGGCCACAAGAAATAGCAGCCGCTTGTCCTGCGGCAGACCTTGCAACTTCACCGGAGTCGTTTGTACGCCCCTGGGGAAGCACGTAAGGTCGATCATGGACGATCAGCAAAGAGCATATTTCCTCAGGATTTGGAGGCCATCCTGTCCTATACCGCCAAATCTCGAGAATAGAACGAGACCTGTTTCAACAGAGACGGTCTGTTGCTAGAACTTTCCCAAATAGCATCCACGTCTGTAATGCAGACGGATACATCGTTGCAGCAGGACCGCAGGACATTGATCCAACTCCTCGCAGATTGGCAAAACAACAACTTTGCAAAGTTGTTAATGCGCTTCCAAAATACCTCCACACCGAGCAGCGCCCCCACATGCGAATAGAGTGACCAACTGACCCACTCCTCAATCTCATAAACTTATGCACAGCGCCTTGATTCCTTTACTTTGAATACCCGAAGAAACGGCCCAATTAGAGCGAGACTCACGAGACCCCCGGCCCCAGCTGGCACAGCTCCCCGTCCCCCCAGCCGTACACGTCCCCCTTCTCCAGAACCGCTAGCGTGTGCCGCGTGCCCGCTGACGCGTGCGCCACCCGCACCCCCTTTGGCAGCCCGGTAACTAGAGTGGGGCTGAAAGTGTCGTCCGTGGTCCCGTGGCCGCACTGGCCCCATCGTCCACGGCCCCACTGCAGACAGCAAGTAGAGCCCGTTGGTGGAAGAGAACAGGATAGTAAACGGCACTTGCGACTGCGGCATTTGACGACAAGTCGGTGTTGCCTACAACTTGGCTCGTCCTACTACTCTGCAGTACTTTCTGAAGGTGGACTCTAGAATCCAAGCGGCTTCATGACACAGCCTGACACTCTTCTTGAGATTCTGCGCCGTACGTCCGCTGGAATGGCAAAGAGAGACTTCCAGTCGCAACCTAGAGATAACATTTGCAGCAGCCGTTCGTTCGAAGGTCAAACACTCACCGTATACAGCTCCCCCTTCCTGGTGATTGCTAGCGTATGGTCGCCACCGCATGCCACGTGCACTACCCCCTCGTTCGAGAGCCCGTTCAGCCGCGTGGGCCGGCAAATCGTGCCCCCGTCACTGTGCCCCAGCTGACCGTACTTGTTCCGTCCCCACGTGAATATCTGCAGAGCAACGAAGGAATGATTCAGAACCCAAATAACTTCGTCAAGATGCAAGTGAGTGCCCTCCTTGCTGTCTCCAGACTGACCGTAACAATTCCGTCCCAATATGAGAATTGGCGGAGTGATTGGATCCAACTGACGCCATCGAGAAGTAGATGATTGCACGGACGTCATCAATGGACCATCGGCCAGACGTCCTGGTGCAGATGCAACCAAACCCTGGCCACAATCGCTACTTGGTGTCATCCGACCCTGGTCGGATTTCGAGCTTCAAGTCGTCAGGCTTATTGGCAGAAAGTCTCGGACAGGAAGAAGCGTCTCACTTGTCCGTCTACTGTGAGGGCCGCGCTGTGGTTCTCGCCAGCAGCAACCTGTGGAACCCGAAAGGGGGTGTTAGCTCATTCCGGTTGCCATCACCGAACCCCGCGCTTCTTGACCAGGTCATGAGATAATCTTCGATGGGACCAGGGCAAGGCTATGGGTGTCCAGGCTTGAGTACGCAGACGCCTCAACGAAATCGGGGAATACTACTCTCAAGCGTATGAGACACGTTGGTAGCAGGTTCTTTGCAGACCTATCTTTTCCGCTTCCCCTCGCCCCCCACCCTGTTAATGTTAAACACGTCGCCTCCTTTCCAATGCGTATAGGATCGACCGACGTCCCAGTCGCAGGCCCCGGCTTAGCCCCCTCGCTTCCACTCCATGCTTCTGAGCACATCATCATGCCTTTCCTAACACGAGCTCTACCAGTGGCCTCCGATTCTCGCAAGGAGGCCTTGTCTCTGCTCACCTGTACGATTGCCAACCCCCACAGAGAGTCTACCAGCGTTGGAGTAGGCTTGGTTTCCAGATCCCCATGACCTAGCGCGCCCAGTTGACCCTGCCCAAAAGAATATACCTCGCCGCTTCCTGCACGCAACAAAACATGGCTCTCATCTAGCCATCCCTTCCCAACCACACAGCAGATACTACGATTACACCGTTTGTGACCCCCATGACCTCGAAACACTCTCCTGTTCCGGAGGGACCTCAACGGATCATAACTTCTACGCGTCAAAGGGAGTGCGCAGAGTCAAGTTTGTAATGAAACTTGCCATTTCTCTAAGCATCTTGAGGACACACCAAGAAATTTCCATTGAATGAGATGTGGGAACAACTTACCTGTCAGCGCCAGTGTGTGTGCCGCCCCGCAGGCGACCCTCACAAAACGGAGCTCGCGTGTGCCCTTCACTATCTTGGGCTGCACAGGTGCGGTGGACCCCATGGCATCCCGGTGGCCCAATTGGCCCTGGTCGCCCTCGCCCCATGCCGCCAGCGCACCCTGATCTGCAGAAACGGGAGTGCCAATTATAAAAGGGTCGGGAGCAGGACGGATACTGATAGAAATCAAACTCGAACCTGAATTTACAGGGCAACAACGCAACCCCAGGACCCAGTTGTCATGAAGAGGTCGCCGTGAAAAACTCATTAAGCGACTTGCTGAGTGATTTGGAATACATAGAGATTATGCAAGGTCATACAGTCAACAAATGCCTTATGCCTTACAGCCCCTGTCCTTTGGTAATACTTCTTGCCTCCACCTACACAAGGTCTTTGAAAGCGCAAGCCGCCCACATAGGTGGCCTGTTGCTCACCAGTTACGGCCACAGTGTGGCCTCTTCCGCAAGCGACATGCGTGATGGTGTACGTATCAAGTGCAGCCACGCGCACCGGCTCAGCTGCGCTTTCCCGCCCTTTCACGCCCAACTGGCCGGTGTCATTTGAGCCGCTTGTGTACAGTTCCCCATCGGCTGAAAGATGTGAGAACTGAGGCCGTTAAGGAAAGATTGTGTCAATTGTTCAATATGGCTGCCAACCCAAGAAACTGCGGACTCAGGAGAATGAGAATCTCCCAGGCAGATGAATCTGGACAAGTTGTTGTGCGAGTGAAACCCCAGTACCACCAGTACAAGCTACGTTGCATCTAGCAATCTGGCGATTCCCCTGCAGATTGTCAAAGAACCTAAGTGGCATTCAAGAAATCGCCCTGCAGATTGTCAAAGAACCTAAGTGGCATTCAAGACACAGTTCCCCCCATGATCGGCCTAAACACGTGCTGGGTGTCTGCCCTTGATGATGCCGCAAAATTGTCAGGTACGGTAGAGTGATCCTCAATAATGTTGGGATGCTTGCATTCGCACTGGAAAATGCTCACATGTCAAAAATGCAGAGTGATACTCTGCAGCTGCAGCATGAACCACATTTCTTTCAGCGAGCGCCTTGACGAGAGTTGGGACGTCCACGTTGCTTTCTACGCCCAAACCGAGCTGCCCCAAATCACCCCGGCCCCATGCGTATGCTGCACATCATGAAAGGAAGAATAAGGTAAGAATGGTAAGCTTGCTTTATCCTATGTTTTGGCTTCAGATTTCATCATCTTTTGAGTTGGCATGGGTAGGAAAATTGCTGGCATCAAGAGTCATGCGAAGAGTGCCACTCCAATCTTCACTTGCCACACAGTGTCCAGAATTACATTGTGCAATCTTCGTCCAGCTAGAAAAGAGCTGAAAATAAGACTGAAACAACCATTGTTTGTTCAGGCTCGGTAGAGACTCCAAATCGATGCCTGAGCTGCATCAAAGATCCACCAGAAACCTTACTATCACCGCCACCATTCTGTCCTCTTTTGATAAAATGCACACAATCTAAACTTTATTGCACGCATATGACAGTGAACTTACTGAAGACAGCCCGACTCAAGAGGGCCTTATACTCCAATCGCGGGGTCAACGATCGACGGAAGATCTCTGCAATCAATCAAGACTAGTGTTAGGGAATCTACTACATGCTCATGTCAGTTCTGCATGAAAGCTAAAATACTTTCCTCCAGATCATTAGTTTAAGCGAAGCTGAATGCCAGCGAGTTTCCAAGTTTTGGATTCACCAAAGCTTGCGATCACCGAGTTCAATGCGAGTCTCACTTTTTGGGCCATCTATGACGGGCATAGGTTCTCCAACTTCTTTCTCTGGCAAAGCGCTGCCGCTGTCTGCACGTCCGTCCAGAGGGTTCGGTTTAATGAAAGAGAACGATGGCTGCGACAGCGGGGCGGACTCTGCCAGAACAGACGCCATTGAGCAAACCCGACAGTGGAAGAGCAGGACTTAGTCTTTCACCAAATGATGAAACCCCTACAGCATGGAGCATGCGTCTCCAAGCGCTGCCTCCATTGGCATTGGGCCTCATTCGGGGCGTTCGCACGACATAGGACAGCTGTAACAGTAACCAAGTTAGTGCACTTTTGGGAACTTCGAGAAGGATGAGAAGCGCACACATGAGGGGCGGTTCACATGCGTTTTCAAAGTTTGCCGAAACCGGCGAAAACTCGGCAAAATGGGCCGCGTTTTCATCTTTCAAAACGCGGCCTCCGTCGACCGCGTTCGGTTTTGACAAATACGCAGCTTTGAAATGCGGTCGAGTTTCAGCGAGTTTTGGCCAGTTTTCGGATACTCGGCAAATACCGAGCTCGGTTTTGCTCGGTTTTCGAAAGTGGTGTTCATATGCGTCCCGCTGATTACGGAGCTGCCACGTCGGACATATTTGGCAAAACCAAGCAAAACTGAGCAAAACTGGACGCATGTGAACCGGGCCTGATGCATACGGTATTGCCCCGACTCGAAGGTCGGGACTGCGCAAGCTTCCGAGAATAGAAGCTCACTTTTGCTTGCCTCACTTGTCATTGGTCGTACTGGCAACTCAAGTGTACCCTAACGGCGGTGTGCCCTAAGATCCGTAAGCCCCGGCCGAACAAACTAAACACCCTAACCACAAAAACTCACGCGCTCCGCACCCGAACCCACCCTAACCACCAAGCTAACCCCACCCGTCCCCCGGGCGCCTATCTTAGGGCACACTGCTGTTAGGGCACACTTGCGTTACCAGAGTGTCATTGGTCGACAGCTTCAAGATTTCCGACGTGGCGAGTCTCGATTCGCTGGCGGTGTTGGGGGATACGCAACCCTTTCCCGACTCCCCATGGCATTAGGGTTTCTTTGCCGCTGCGAGTCGGCGCAGACTCAGAGTCAGAGTCACTGGCAGGGTCAGAGTCAGAGCCTCATCTTGGCGACGCAGACGGTGTTGCCAGGTACCTGGTTGTTTAGCAGCGGAAGTCCTGCCACCCCGTGTCCTGCTGAAGTCAGGTGCCTGAGGACACGTCTGGTATACGTTTTTTTTCCAGCATTCGAGATTACTTTTACATTTGAGATAATCCTGTTTTGGCGCAAGGCGGTTGCTCTGCACGACAAGGCTTACAGGCAATTTCCCCTGGAGCTTCATGGCGCAGACGGCGAGCAGTCTGCACGTTTCCTGTTCTGTGTTCCACACCCCGGGCCCGTCATATGGTGCCAGAGAAAAGACGCGCACTGCAGCTTTTGAGGCAATCCCAAGAAGTGCAAAGGCGAATCTTGTGCTGACTTCTAGTCAGGGGTGGATTCATGCAGACGGTGGTTTTGGAAACAATGCCAAGGGGCATAGCACTACTGCTTGTAAAAGGTGGCACTGTCGGAGACAACTAGCTGGACGCCAGCTCGCGGCTGAATCTGTCTGCAGGGATTGTAAAGCGGACCGTTTGCAGAAAAGGCAAGGCGTTAAAGCGCATGCTGGCCCCTCAGAATCAGACGACCTTGACCAGGAGAAGCTTGAAAAAGCTGAAGTGACAAATAAGTTCCCCAGCATTCCCAGGTTTCTGCGGGAGAGCCCTCCTGCTCGGTTCCTGGCTTCCGCCTTCTCGCAAGGGGATGGATCGGCAGAAACTGGTGGTGGTTCAATGCGGAAGCAAGTCGTCGCTGCCTTTATGGTGGCGCTTGCTTTGACCGGCGCAGTGGCAGTTACAGAGCCCTCAGGGGCCTTTGTGACGGCCCCCCCCAGGAGGCTCCAGGGGGATGAGTTGCAGACTGTGAACCTCTTCCAGAAGAACACGCCGTCGGTAGTGTACATAACCAACCTCGCTGTAAGGTGAGTGGTGAGACGTGGCAAAAGGTTGGCGAGGTCTGCAGACGAAAGGCCTTAGCAAGGAGTAAGTAAACAGAGATGGATAACAAGTTTGTGGGAAGCCTGGATAATCTGTGGTGCTCGAAATACCGAACAAAGGAATATGTTGTTGCTCGGTCAGTAGGGTCATAGGAATGGCCGGGTGACTGATTACTGTGTAGCCACTGTCTCCTTTATCTATATGAATGTCATTAGGGAAAAAAGGAGACAGTTGACTTTCATCATTACGAAGAGCCAACAGGTACTTTTCAAAAGAGAAACAGACTTTTTGGTGTCACTGTTCCAACTTTTGGCAGTACTTCTGGTGCAGGCGGGACCAGTTCACCCTAGATATTATGGCTGTGCCCCAGGGCTCTGGATCCGGTTTCATTTGGGACAAGCAGGGCAACATTGTGACAAACTACCACGTCATCAGGGGCGCTTCTGACCTCAGGTGCGCGGTCCGCTAAGAGTGCGCGTCGACCGAAAAGATGCAAAAAGCTGTCCCGATTTTGTAGCCAATTGGAGGGCTTTTTCAGATCACGTGGTACACCAAGGTACATACCAGAGCAGTAATATCGCTTGAAAAGTACCGTACCTCCTACTTGCT